TAATATTGAAGAAAAATTATAAGGAAAGTAGAAAAAAGAAAAGAAATAAAGTCACATTTGGTTAGAAAGGAGTTAAAATGACAGTTAAGAGGTAAAAATGTAGGTAGACAAAATTACCCAAAAATTGAAAGTGATGTTAGAAACATGAGTAGAAAAATATTGTAGTCTACTAGGTAATGTTTGGTAATGAATGGAGGTGTGTAGATAGATAAGCTTATACCCACTGGTAAAGTAAACTCACTTAAGCTTATACCCACTGGTAGATAGATAAGCTTCTTGTGTTTATCACTCTGCATTTTCATACGGTTTCTAGCTTGCAGTAGCTGAGATTTTAGCCGTGAGAGGATTTCATCTCTTTGCACCACCAAGGCCTCAATTGCCTCCACCTTTATTAATCCTCTAGGACAAGGAGGAATATGCATAGGTTGTTTACCAAAGACAGCAGTGTATGGAGCCATACCAATGCTTGAATGCACACTTGAATTGTAATGGAATTGTGCCCATCCTAGAAATTCTGACCAGCAATTCGGTTTTTCGTGACAGAAAGAACGCAAATACTGTTCAAGATAACGATTAGTTACCTCAGTTTGCCCGTCCGATTGCGGATGATATATGCGGAACTAGTGTGCAATGAAGTTCCACTTAACTTGAATAGCTGTGACCAAAACTGACTCACGAATATAGGATCTCAGTCAGTCACTATTGATCTAGGAAAGCCATGATTGTAAACTACTAACTCGCAAAAGAGTTTGGCCACTGTTGTTGCAGTAAAGGATTGAGGCAATCTGCCAAAATAGGCAAATTTTGAGAGCCTATCAACTATAACTAGAATAGTTGACTATCCTCGAGACATAGGTAATCCCACAATAAAATCCATAGACAAGTCTTCAAACACCCCTTCTGGTACAGTTAAAGGTTGCAGTAGTCCACTCGGTTTGCTCGTTTCATATTTAACTTGCTGACAAACCAGACATTGAGCCACAAAATTTCTCACATCTTCTCTCATGGAACTCCAATAAAAAATGGCAGAGAGCCGAAGAAACGTGCGCAAAACCCTTGCATGCCCTCCCACTAGTGTAGCATGATATTCATGAATCAGAATTGGAATCAAAGAATTGGAGCTTAATAAAAAACGGTTACTATGGAATAGGATACCATCCTTAATTGACAATGAACTATCCGCTCCAGGATCAGTTTTAAATTTTTCATGACATTGTAACAGATAAGGATCCTGTGAGTTTTGCTTCCTTACTTCCTCAAGAACATTAAAGACCGGTTCTGAAATCAAGGTGTGCAGCCCCCATCATCATGCACTCTTGATAACGCATCTGCTACCACATTACTACTGCCCCTTTTGTACTCAATTGTGAATGAGTACCCAAGCAATTTACAGAGGTATTTTTGTTGCTCTGTTGTCTGGATGGTCTGATTCAGTAGCTCCTTTATACTCTTATGGTCAGTCCTAATCACGAAATTGGAGCCCAGCAAGAATTGTCTCCACCGTTTAACAGCAGCCGTAATAGCATACAATTCCCGTACGTAAGTGGAAGAGTTAGCCATCCTCATTCCCAACTTTTTACTGAAGAAAGCTAGAGGTCTTTCCTGCTGCAAGAGTACTGCTCCTACTCCACTGCTTGAAGCATCTGTTTCAATGACAAAAGGAAGAGAAAAATTTGGTAAAATTAATATTGGAGTCTTACTCATGGTTTCCTTCAAATGATGGAATGCTGAAGTTGCTGCCTCGGTCCACACAAATTCTTCTGAAACCTTGAGCAGATTTGTTAGTGGGGCCGCGAGCATGGCATAATTCCTTACGAAACGACGGTAAATAACCCGTAAGGCCCAAGAATCCTCTCAATTGTTTCAGATTACAAGGCAAGGGCCACTCCATCATGGCTTGAATTTTCTTCGGGTCGGCATGAACTCCTTGGCTGGATACAACATGACCCAAATATTCTATGGACACAGCCCCAAATGAGCATTTAGACACCTTCACGAAAAATTTATGTACCTGCAAACAACTCAAAGCAGTAGCCAAATGCTCAACATGTTCTTCCATAGATTTACTAAAGACCAATATATCATCGAAGAATACAATTATAAATCTGCGTAAATGAGGCTTGAACAGCTGATTCATCACGGCTTGGAATGTAGCTGGAGCATTAGTCAAACCGAATGGCATCACTAGGAACTCATAGTGGCCCTCATGGGTTCTAAAAGCTGTTTTTTCCACATCTTGAGGCAGTACCCTAATTTGATGGTACCCTGCTCTCAAGTCAAATTTGCTAAAAATTCTAGCTCCCCCTAACTCATCTAGGAGCTCATCAATGGTTGGAATGGGAAACCTGTCCTGCACTGTGATGGCATTCAATGCCCTATAATCTATACACATTCTCCAAGTGTCATCCTTCTTACGCACTAAGAGAATAGGAGATGAAAAAGGGCTCTGGGAGTGCTGTATTAAACCAGCTGCCAGCAATTCAGTCACTTGTCGCTCTATCTCTGCCTTCTGATGGTGGCCATATCGATATGGTTTAACATTCACAGCCCTTGATCCTTCTACTAGATGTATAGTGTGATCCCTGCCCCTAAAAGGAGGAAGCTCATGTGGAATCTGGAATACTTCTTGATACTGCCACAAAACATCCCACAATTTATCAGGAATCACCTCCTTAATAGCCTTCAGTTCACTTCCCGAACCACTAGGACTGTTTTCTGTATGCTGCAACAATGCCAAGCAACTCAGCTTCCTGCCATTCATGTAATTCACCATGTCGTCGGATTCATTACTTCCCTTATTTCCCTCCAACAAAACATGTCGTCCTTGCCACTGAAATTCCATTGAAGAGCTAACATAGTCATGGGTGACCTTGCCAAGGGCCGCCAACCAAGGCATTCCTAAGACAATGCTAAGGTCACAAAGCTCCAACACCCAGAAATCAATGGTGAACTCATGACCTTGTAAGTTGATTAGTACCTTAAGGCATTTCTTATCAGTGGACAAAAATTCCCCATTACCTAAGAATACTCTTATTCTTTTGGAACGAGTCATAGGTAAGCACAAGTCAAGGGCTACCTGTCGGTCAAGGAAATTATGTGTACTTCCAGAATCTATCAACACATGAAACACACGGTCCTCAATAATTGTTGTGAACACCAAAGAACGTGTGCCTGAATGATCAGCCAGGGCATGAAGAGCACCATCCTGTGAGTTTTTATTGCTGCTGGTCGAATGCCATACAATCTCTTCTTCCTCCTCTAAACCTTCGTGTACTTCATCAACATCTCCCACCATTAAAAACAACTTGATTTTACACTTGTGCTTAGCATGCCACTTTTCCTCACAGTAATAACAAAGTCCCAACTCACGCCTCTTATGCAATTCTGCATGACAAAACTTCTTCATATTGGTAGGAGCAGGTAATGCCAATAACGGATTAGGTGCAGGTAATTGAGGCACAGTGGGCTTTGGAAGGTTTATTGGAGGTACTGAAGTCGATCCAATAGAAGAACCCCCAGCGTCATGAGAAGAAAAATTCTTAAAGCCAAATTTCTTACCACCCGCAGAAAAGGAAGCACGAAGTTCGGTATGATGATCATCATAAGCCAATGCTTGTTGCATTGCTTGATGCAAATTCATCGGTGATCTGAGTTGCACTGTGCTTCGGAGTTCAGGTTGAAGACCGGAGACAAAAAACTCAAGATATAAATCATCACCCAACCCTGGTACCTGGTTAAGCAACATCTCAAATTGCTGTATATACTCACGAAGGGTACCCAATTGAGTCAATTTGGACAATACACCCTTAAGATTCGTATAAGCAGAGGCTCCAAACCGCTCACGCAGCAACCTTGTCAAATCTGGCCACAAACCAATCAAGCCACTATTATACATCCACTGGTACCACCCTGATGCCATACCTTCCATGCGCAACCCAGCCATAGGAACCTTGAACTCTTTCGGAATTTGTTGAAGAACAAAGAACAATTCAGTTCGAAAAATCCAATTATTAGGGTCCACACCACTAAACACAGGAATCTCCAAGCGAATTGCCTTGGATACGTTGCGGCCATCCACTTGTGGATGAATTGGTGGAGTGCGAAAAGGAGGATCTCGATGACGTGCATCCATGGCCATCACCGTTGTATTGAGTTGCTGTAATTGAGAAACTATCAACGCTATTTGATTCTAATAATCATCCAAGCGAGTTTCCACACGGGAAAGGTGCGATTGATTGTCAGTCAACCGAGTATCTACACGTTGTTGGAACGTGTTGAATTCCTCCGCAAGATCCTGAACGCGCATTTCGTTGAACAGGTGGAGTTCAAGTGAAAGCACCAGTTGTTAGGAATTGACCTAACAAGAGAAGAACAGAGAAAACAAGAGAAAGAAAAATAACTGATTGTATATTCTGAGTAGTAATTCCAATGCTACAATGTGTTTCTTATATGAATCCATCTGTACTTATCCTATGACCACGTATTACGGTTAACACAGCCAATACATAAAGTGTTATTACTAAAGGCATATGTGTGCCACACACACAATACATCATCTATTTCTATGACACGTTTCACATGCACCCACTTAAGCTAAGCCACGTAATCTTTCAATCTCACCGAAGGCTGCTTTTCTCTCCTAGAGCTTCTTCTTGTAACAATCCTCCTTTTCTAACAAACTTGGTAAACCTTTCAAACCAAGCCCTTGAAGAAAACTTTAGTCTCTAAAGTGATTTCTTCAACTTAGAAACCTTCCCTCCAAACTTCTCTTCAAAACTAAGGGGCGCATTCTATAGAATTCCTCTTCCAACTCTCAATTGAGAACAAAAAAAAAAACCGAATGAAAATAGAGAAGAAAAAGAACAAAATTAGATACCGGCTAGGCTTGATTACGCCATAGCTCTAAAGCCACGAGCACAGTCACGAAAAATAAAGGAAATAAGAAACCCCTTTTTTATATATATATTTCTGATTAATAATTAATTGTTACAAAGGGTTAGGTTGTATAGGCTCACACAACAAATATATCTCACTCAGTCTTAGGAGCTATACAATTTTACAGTAGCTATCCCTAGAAATTTGTTAAGTCAACTATCTAAATAAATCTTTTTATTTTCTATACCATCACTGAAAAGGATAAGGAAAATGAGCAATTTTCCAATGATATTATCAAATAAGAGAGGAAATTAAGCCCCAAAAACAGAAAGAACGAAAGAATCATCAAGGAAAAAGGAAAATACTTAGTCATTCCTTCGAGCCACTTTAAGAAATTTTAGAACATTTTCATAAACAATAAAAGTTATTGAAGAAGCAGGAGCATTTTTCAAAAGGTTTGGGGTAATTCCCTTGTAAAAACCTCGGACACCTTCAAATCTGCAAGAACAAAACAAAATCTATAATACACAAAATAATTAACTGAATTCAAAACGACCAAGAGCATATTAATTTGGATAGATGCAAAATTAACAAAATAGAGTATTCATAATTTGTTGGCAGTGTTGCACCAAGAGTCAACCTATTGTGTTGCCAAGGCCTAAGGAATGCAATGATCTTTAATCACCAATAATATTTATGAGTCCTAATCCAGTTTCACCTTCGTCCTTTGTCAATGAAAAGATGCAAACTAAATCTGGATGGGTTTTAATGCGTACCGTGCAGTTTCTTTCACAACATGCCAACTGTCCATATATCTCGGAACCCCATCACCACTAGGTCGTTGCTGCATTGAGAAAGAAATTTCAGTCCAGCTCTGAAAACGATGCACAGTTAAAAGAAAAGCAGTATGTAATATCCCTATCTTCGTAATTACACTCTTGTACCTGCAATCGAGCCCGTATAACCTGAAAAAAAAAAAAAAAAAAGGAGGAAAAAAAAACAGTGTCTCATCAGAAAGCAACTTCTTCAAAGATTGATTTATCATAGTCAAGGACTCTAGAGTCTAAAATCCATCTCGTCCAAAAGAGAGGGGAACAGACAGTGGTACCTGAAATGGATAAGTTAGAAGTATTGCAGCAATTTTTGATGTTGCTCCAAGAACGGCATAATCAACCGAATTCTGGGGAAAAGAATAAGTCATGAAAACACTCCAACCGTAAGTCTTGGAAAAAAAGCCTTGATATAACACAGATTAAATTGGAATCATTTGTAAGCATCACATAGCAGGAAGCTGAGAGTACTAGACTCAAACCCGTCTTAAAAAGACATAAGCTTGTAAAAATGAAATGTAGGATACGCATAACTACATTTCCTCTCATTTAACATGTCCCTGAATTCAACACAGTCATTTGAACAACTTAATAAAGCCTTAAAATCTGAAGGAAGGGTGGTATAATATTGCAATGCATTAATTTGAACTAATTAAGCAATTTTGACAAATGGTTCCATGCATGAATGGAAGAGCCAATATGTTATGCACTAGTTTATGTTATATTCTACTTAAAAAAAATTAACATAACTCCACAGTTTGGACTGCGTTAACCCATGTCAAACAATCATTTAGGCACCAAGACAGTGGTTGATATCAGCTTATATACCATGACCAAGACAGTTTACGATCTAGTCAAAACTATAGTCATCCTATCCACATATATGCATCAACCTTAGAGTTATTCATGAAATGCATCACTTTGCTTTACCAACCTGGAGCAATGATTTATAGGAGCAAGATCTCAAAGAGCCTTAACAGTGGCCAAAAAGGTCAATTATCAAACAATCATTTAAGAAGTGTAAATGGTCCAGTACATGTATATTTTCAGAGTTAAATGGATCCAAGGTCCATTGACTTACCAACAATTTATCAGGGTTTTGATGGTGTATTTTACATCCCTTACTCTTCAAATCGACAATAAATTTACGAAGCTCCTCATATGCTGTGAACTGAATAGCACCATGAGATACCTGCTGAAGCACAAAAATAAAGTAAGATCTCAATAAACCATAGAAAGACAATAATATGTATGATTTTGTGAATACTTAATAGTTAATATAGCCAATCCGAATTTTAAAATTGCCCTTCCACATCCTAGAAAAAGCAGCAACCTAATAATGGCTTTAGTAAATACAAAATAAACTAAAAAAGCTTGATAAATAACTAAAACACTTGAAGAAAAATTATCATATTAAGGTATAGGTTTAAATACAATTAAATTTTCAGCCATAAATTCAGGGAACCTTATTAATATCCTGGCAACGAAAGAATTACCAAATTTAAATAAATATGCAATCCACCCAATGAATCAGATTAAATGACAAGCAGATTCTTCCTTTATTTTCCAGCCATGTTTTCTGGAAGTTATTTCTACTGCCACTTCATCCCATGTAATGAATTGAAATTTGTTTATATTTAAAATTTAGAAATTTTATGGAAAAATATTTCCAATTTGAAAAAAATATATAACTTAAGTGGTTAATTAAGCTAACATGTTTCTTATGTTCCAAATGGCTCTTTTTAGTCCTTTTTCCCTACATTTATTTATTTTTCTTTTCCTCCGTCTTTTCTTGCTTTCATTTGGGTTCATTGACCACCAACCCCAACTAATTTGGGATAAAGTTGTTATTGATGATGAAGGTAGTTAACACAAGATTTCTCTTAGGATATTGTTAAACACTCCAATAGTTAAATGTTCCTAAATTATCAATATTTTGGACAATGATTCCTAAACTGTAATTTTCCCAAATCTTTTTTATGATGATAATAGAGGGTGAGCCTTGACCAAGGTTACAGGTTCAAGTTTGGGAGACAGTCTCTTTACGAAAATACAAGGGTACGGCTACGTACCATTGACCCTCATCCCAACCCTCGCAAGTCGAGGAGAGCCTCGTGCATCAGAGTTTTCCCTTTACAAGCATGTTTCTGTGCTTTACTAAATATCACTAATGATCATAGTGACATAATATAAAGTTTGAGAAAAATGTATACGCACTACTTGAAAATCCGGGCAGTTGCAACTAACCCATCTTAAACTTTTTTTTTTGGTAGAACCATCTCAAACTTTTAAGCTATCAGAAAAATCAGGACAGAGACAGATCCCTCCATCGAATTGTCATTTACATAACATGATCACTATATTTAAACATATCAAGCATATACTCCACTGTCATTCAAAACAAAATCTGCAAATCATTTTAATACCCTTTTTTTTATATCATACTTTTGGTCTCAGATGAAAAGTTTGAAAATTTATTAATCGCATTTGTTATAACAGTCCCACACCAATTACATTTGTAAAAATAGTAAATTATTTTGTTACTAGGATAGTTCATTAGTTAATTGAGCCTTATTTTAGGGAAGTAATTATTTAGTTTAGCCTATATATTGTAATGCATTGTACAGTTCATTTATCAATTCAAAATTAATATTCAGTCCCTAATCATTGAAGTTGATATCAAATCAAAGCTCTTGATTTGGGAAACTCTACTTCTGCAAAATTAACCCTAGCCTGCTTGTAAAAAACCAATTAACCCCAAAAGTTAGATGAAGACACTTATATTATTTTATTATATTATTCCTTAATATACCCCCTCACACCAAGAGCCTTGTAAGATTGAAGCGTGGACAATTTATAGCCCTACCACACCAAGAGCCATTTTTTAGGGTTTGAAACATGGAAATTAAACATTATCAGAAAAATGGGGACAACAAGAATTGAACTCTAGACCCTTAAATTGTAAAACTTTGATACCATATAAAGAACCAATAGTTAAGTTGGGTGGTTGACATGGTATCATTGCAAGCACCTTGGTGCCTTCATTGAACCCATTCCTTTCCCAATTACAAAGCCTGCCATAGCTATCGCCAGCTACCACCTCTTCTCTAATTGGACCCCACCAGAAGAACTGCCAACTACCATCTGGCCAACCATCAAAGACCCAGCTTTGACGACAAACCCAATGATGGATCAGCTTTGATAATAAGTCTACGACGCCAGGTTCTTCTTCTTCTTCCAAACCCAACAAAGAACGATTTGAGTTGATAAGGAACAAAGTTCTATTATCTCCTTTCCATGCATGAAGAAGTTAGTCCCAGTCAAGTCTACGACGCCAGGTTCTTCTTCTTCTTCCAAACCCAACAAAGAACGATTTGAGTTGATAAGGAACAAAGTTCTATTATCTCCTTTCCATGCATGAAGAAGTTAGTCCCAGTCAGAAGCTGCTACTTTATTGTCCTCAATCCAACTTCGAAATTCCTACTTCTCAAATTTGGCTTCAACATAAGCATCTTGGACACCCTCCTTTCTCTTTGTTATAGTCTGTCTATATTTTTGTCTTCATTTTCAAAAGAGTGTAATCTTTTCACCCGTTCCCTCAAGAAAAGGAAAAATGTCTTATACCAATTATCCTATTTCCTAATTTGTCTCTTCTAAAAACCTTTCTATGCAGCACAAGAGTTTCATTTTAGTCTTTGGTTCTATCATAATCCCAGCAATGGTGCAAGAAGGGATGAAGGATAAGAACTGGGTTCAAGCCACAAATGAGGAGGTCAGGGAATTGGATAAGAATGGAACATGGGAGATTGTTGAATGACTAGGGGAAAAAGACTAGTCAATTGCATATGAATATATACCTTGAAATATCAGTCTAATGATACAATGGATCGATATAAGGTAAGGTTAGTTGCAAAAGGATACACTCCCACTTATGGAATCGACTATCGGAAGACATTTTCTCCAGTAGCAAAGATGAATACTATAAAAGTTTTACTCTTTATCTATGTTGCGCCGACACTGACACGGGACATGGGATACGACACGACACGGCACTCCGACACGTTAATTCTAAAAATGTTAAATTTCGACACGTTAGGACACGTTTTGATATTATAAATATTTTTAATTTATGTAATGTATATTATATTTAGTATTCAATAATTTAACAAAAAAATAAAGCTAAACTTATAATACCCATTTATTTTGCAAAGAAACATAAGATACCCAAATGTTTATATTAAACTTAATAAAATCGTAATCGTAATCTAACGAATCTAATAGTTGAAACTCAAAATGCAACGCAACGTAACCTTTGAACCTTTTTTGAGTCTTTGCAACGAGTATTGGAGTGTCGGGAAGTGTCGAACACGACACGTCATGATTTTTGAAGTGTCGGTGCTTCATAGCTCTTTATTGCTGCTCATCGTGGGTAGGAATAGATGTTAAAAATGCCTTCATCATGAGATTTGGTGAAGGAAATCTACATGGAAATTTCACCCGGATATGATAATCCTTGAAGAGAAAATAAGGTATGCAAGTTAAAAAAAATCTGTCTATGGACTAAAGCAATCTTCCCGTGCATGGTTTGGAAGATTCACAAAGGCATTGGTGTCTTTGGAATACAGATAGAGTCAGGTTGATCACACTCTTATCTTAAAGCATTCAAAGAAGTTAAAGAAGATTCCACTTTCAGGCTATCATGGGCAGAAGAAAAAAAAAAAAGAGGTTATGCTTTTTGAAGAATCGATCTCAGCCAATGGATGGGGAGACACGGCTTCTCTACCTCAAACCTAGCATAAAAGGAAAAAGAAAGGACAACAAGAGAAGCAGGTACAATCTTTTGATCGTTCAAGAGAAGGAGAATGGACAAGGGCTTGCTACATCATGGGGAATTTTAAGCATAAGAGGACAAAAAGCTTGCTGATGCTGGATGATTGTCTCCATTGGACATTGAGCTGACTTCACCTTTCTTTTTCTTCTTATTTTGATTTGTATTAGTTGTATTTCAATTATGACATAATGTAGTCATTTCTAGTACTTTGTTTTGTAACCATGAGCTAAACTCACTTGATTGGGTGGATAAAGCACTTAACTTGAACCTTTTGTTAGCAATTTAAATCAGTTTTCTTAATATTGTTTTTCTTATAAAACTTTGTTATTTACTAGCAATTTATAAGCAAAGATATGTGGTTTTGATTTGCCGGAAAGTAATTAAAATTAGACTTACATTAAGCAATGTGAGTTGGTTGAGTTGTGTTAAAACTTAATCAATTTAGTAAATTTCAGGAATGCATAATCATATGGGCTTGACTTGATTTCTGGTTTCATGTCTTGCATAGGAATGTGTAAAAAATGAAATCAGGGATATTAATTGAGTCTGTTGCAAAACACTTGCAAATATTCGAGTTCTGGTTAACTGATTGAATTGGCGTATCAATTTTTATAGCAATTCTGGTGACAGTAGCAGTAATGAGAAAATTGATACCCAGTCCCTTCCATATCTGATCTTTTGATCAAATCTTGCCTTGCTTACTAATTTACATCTTCATCCTTTCACCAATTGACTTATATGACTTGTTTTTATTTTAACTCCTCAAGCAACCACTGGTTAGTCACTTGCATTCATCACACTTTGTTAGTTTCTATGTGGGACGATACTCTTACTCATTCTATATTACTTGCATGAGTATATTGTTGTAAATTTCTAGCTGCCACACGCACAATATTCATTATAGATTGGAAAAGAAAGACCTTTATCTTCTTCTTTTTCCCCTCTTTTTTCTTTTTTCTTTTGGGTGAATAAGGCTTTTATCTTTATTTAAGCACAATTTCACACATTATATTTGATGTTTAATTAATTTTTTTAAGTGCCAAGATCGACAGGCAAAATAACAAGAGCCAGCAACATACCAGAAATAGACCAGGAACTATCCCTCTGTAAAGTGCACTAAATCCTTCTTCCCTCATTATGGTCCTAAATGCATCTGATATTTGATTTTTGCAGATAAAAAAGTTTCATGACTGGTTAGCAATTCACATACTGATGAATATAACCACAATAAACCAAATATACAGCGACTATCATTTTTTAGGTAGTTGAAAGAAACATATCCATCTGACCCCCATTAAAATAGAAAAAATAAAGTCAACTTATGTACCTGACTCTTATATCTTAATTGATCATTCCTTTCTCAAAACAAGTGAAATCATCTATATAAAAAGTAAAGTTTAAACTATGTTTTTTTTCCTAATATTTAAACTACGGTCTGAAAATCAACATCATCCAAAATAATGCCATGGAATAAATGGGATGAATAAGTATGCTTAATACCGGTTAGTATTAAATGACTGAATATTTATATTTTTACACATATAGTGGTGATATAGAAACTGCCATGACCATTTTTATGTCAAAAGGATAAATGCTCCACAAAATACTCTGACTCAAATAAAATCAATGGGTGAAAATGATCTATCTTTCAACTTCTGGATACTAATTTCAAAACCAACTTGGGGTAAGGTAACTAAGATTAAGAAAGATTGTGTAAAAGTAAAAGATAATAAGTAAGCTATAAATTTATAGCTAAAGTCTGGAGCTGAAGTAGAAATGACATGAATACTATGAAAGTAAAACCCCAAAGTGAACAGTTCAGAATAAAGTTAATGTAAGATGGGGAGCAGACCGTAAAGCCCAGCGTATGGCCGTGTCTGATGAAGAGGAGTCTGAAGCTGCAATCTTGTTTTTACTAGCCAAACAGGATTGGTGCACAAGCAAACCTGACAATCGGCAATGAAACCAAAATAACTAAAGGTTCAGTTTTGACCCCATTCAGGAATGTGCGAAAATATGTTTGGCAGACTTTGGAATCCCAAGCATCCAAAAGTGAAAGATAAGCATTATCTCGAAGATATGCACACAGATAAGGAAGTAGTAAACTTAAGTATATAAGCTTTCTCACACACTCTACATACAATAATTTTCATTGGCAAATCCATCTATACAGTTTAGCAAAAGTATTTCATTATATCACTTCTTGGGCCCAACAGAAACAAGATTTAACTTATAAATACAAAACCTCAGGAGATGCAGGAACTCAACTCTATCAACAAATGAAAACAAAATCCAGCAGGGTTGAACAACATATTAGCTATCCAAATATCTTACAAACAATTATATATGTGGCCATCCATTCATAATATTGGAATTTTGCACACTCACCAAAGCACCTGCTTCAGCAGCCGAGGCAAGATGAAGACCTGCGTTCAACTTCTCCTCCCTGTTCCTAGCATATCTTTGTTTGGCTTTGTCATAGCTATAATTGAAAAAAAAAAAAAAAAAGGAGTTTGGTGTCACCTAGGAAAGCAATCAGATGGACCAGGGACCACTCAAACAAAAATAACAAATCATTCAAGTCTGGGAGATAAAAAAATAAAGAACTCCAGTGTGGTGAATAGAGAGGGGAGGGATGGGGGGGAAGAATCCTTTGACATGTTAAAGAACAAGCAATGCGATTTCTCAAAAGTTGTTTGATGTTAAATACAACTACCAGGTCCTATACAACAGTCCTATCATACAAGTACATAGATGCTGAAACCACTCCTTAATTACTAAGGAATAGTGACGGTAATACATGTTTTACATAGAGAACAAAATAATTCTTCCATAAACATGTAGTGTAGACTAGGAGATATTGGCATATTGATTTGGCCCTGACTATGAATAAAGAGTTAGATGTGTGTGCGTGTGTTTGTGTTTGAGTATGAGTGTGTGTGTGTTTGTGTTTGAGTATGAGTGTGTGTGTGTGTGTGAGAAAGAGAGAGAGAGAGAGAGAAAAGATTTTCAAACTCACTGAAACAAGTTACAATTAAACTGGAGAGGATACATACTACATGCACAAACATCAAAGAGTGTGCCACAAAATAAAATATCATTCTCTCCTAGTGAGCGTCAGATATAAAAATGATAGTTTAAAGATGACCTAATACAATCAAATTCTCACTGATGGAAGTTGGTACTTACAAAAAGAAATATAAACCCCATGAAATAGTTGACCCAAGAACCCCAGGAAGAAAGCCTGCATATAACCCTCTTAACCCCTGCAAAATAAAGCTTGGCACATAAGTAGAACATTCATAGTATGACATACACGAAGTTCCTAAAGCAAAAGTTTCTCTCCTATAATTGCAATTGCAACAGATGACAAGTTGTCAACACCAAACCCATCAATTATAAGTGGAAAGAAAGGATATTGAGCCTTATTTCTATGATCCTAGCTGCAGAGATCCTAACATTTGTGGAAGAAGGACCATGCACATGTAGAAAAATGAAGTCTAATGACTTAAGCCTTGACACTTGTGAAATACTGACACTCAAAAATGGTTGCAGTACCGGTGTTGGAAACGTATGATATTGGATACTTCTGGCCTACGTATTTTAATTATTTTTTGAATATGAGTACCAACATAAGTGGGATACCACAATGATCAGATAAAAGATAGTATTTTATTGTGTCTGCAATGACTAATGCTAACTTATGACATCTTCAATTTAAGGCTTGTTGTATCTAAGCCATTTCATGTTTAATAATTTTTAGAATGTGTCATATCCCCATATGGACGTGGTACAGATCCATGTCCACGTATGTATCCGTGCTTCCTAGCTTGACACAATTAGTCACCAAAGATCTGTTCGCGTTGATCTCATTGTGAATAACACACCACAATATCTCTATTCCTGGTATTAATCTTATTCAGTTTCTCTACAATCTTCACAAAAACCAGAAACAATAGTGCTAACTTTATCAAACTCGTCAAGATATGTGACATTAATCCTGAACATCAGCTATACTATCAAGGGAGTAAAGGTGTCAAGCAATTCTATATATTCTAACAAGCTCTATGGCCACTAGGTTCACCAATCGAGGTAATTTCCTTTCTTAACATTAAAATCCTAATATGTAGTAAACCATAGCCAAAAGCCGAGAACCTAAACAAAACGACAAACCTCCAAGCGAGCAATGGTGAAAACGGCGTGAGCAGTGTTCTTATAACTGGGAAGATGAGAGACTCGACCATCGTTAACTGCAAAGTCAAAGAGTTCTTTAAAAAAAAAATTGAACGCACGACGAATCTGAAATCTTCATTTAATATGAGAAAAGAGAGAAACCTTGGAACCTAGTTCTGACAACGTCGAGGGGATGCACAACGGCGACGGTGGCGAATCCTGCGGCGGCGCCGGCGGTGGCGTTCTCCCACTGCCATTGGTCGTGCTTGGTCGCTCCCATTGAAGGAAGAAGAGCGGGATATTATTGAATTGAAAAATGGAGAGTGGGACAAGCGAAGTGTGATTCTGTTTTATTGGGAGCCTTTCTCTCAAGTAATTGTCTCAAAACCTTGCCTTCATGAGACAGAGAAGTTTGGATACTTTCTAAACGTTCCTCTGGAAGTTTGGAAGAGTGTTTGTCAAGGACAACTTTTGTGTCAATTTTAAGTGAAACACCACCTTTTGTCAAGGACACAGAATCAACGACACTATGTGTTTGATACTGTTCAATATTATTAGTGTTATTTTTAGAAGGAGTTTAATGTCTTAATTCTGTATTTGTTTCAAATCGAATTAGTCACGAAACAAAATTGATTCGAAAATTAAAAAAAAAAAAAACAATACGTTAGATTTTTGTTGGCTTTTAACATTTATAAAAGAGAAAGAATTATGAAGGACGGGAGATATAAATTATTTATAAATCTGGATTAAAATATAATTATTTTACTTAAAACAACATAACGGGTCATGTTTAAACTGAATTAGTTAAATAGTCAATGAAATCGTGAATATATCAAATATATATATATATATATATATATATGGGTTAGGATCATTTTACACCAGTGTAAGTTATACTCTTAATCTTGTCCACTGATCCCATTTATATCTAAGGGCTCAAATTTTTTAATAATGTGAGCCATTTTTTATGTAAAATAACAAATGCTTCTCCCCGTACATGTATATATTGACACCTCATCTATTAAAATATTTGAGATTTTTTTAATGCTTGCTTCATAGTCGACATATGCCAATTATTTTCCTTGATGCTATTGTGATTTTGTTTAGCTCTTTGAATTTCGGCCTTAACGTAATTTTCGTATTCTGTTTTAAAGTTTGTTTTGGGGCTAGGGAACAGGCGAGTGTGCCTTGAGTTCCTTTGTAAACTTGCCCATGATCTGTTTGGTTAAATGCTTGAAGCATTTACTTGTTTGTTCATTAATTTGCAATTTCTGCTTGGTCTTTTTCATCTTGTTTATGGTTTGTTGACCTTTCAACTCTCTATTGTTTTTTAATCTATGATGCTATAACCAAGGAATAGAGATTAAATCAAGTGTTCCGAGGTTTTGGTAGCTGGCAGCTACTTTTGTTACCTGATTCATTCCTTGTGATTATGATTTAAATATGTGATGGTAAGGCTACATACATATAGCAACGCATAAACACTTTGGTGGTGCGGCATAATTCGCGATACAGATATGTCATCACGGCATATCCCCAGTTATATTCTTCATATTCATCTAAATCCCCTAAAATAAGTACCAAAAAACTTAGAGTTTTATATATATAATGTTACAGAAAAGTAAAACGCGGTCCTGCAAGTGATAACGACATCGTTTTATGTACTTGCTTCTTTTTATTTACTTGCTTCCCTTTTTATTTGTTTCTGAAAAGAGTTAAAAGGCGAATGCAGAGTGGAATTTGGTGGGAATGGAAGGAAGTGAGAGTGAATCATTTTTTGATTCGCATAATCTGATACCGCAACTCTTCCTTAATGAAGTTCCCAACACCTTCGACGATGTCGTCACTTTTACCTGTAACACTAATCACCCCCTTTCGCCTCTTCTTTTTCTTCTTTTTAAATTCCATTACTTAGTGTTCGTATTTTTCAGGGATCGTTTTCACTCTCCTTTCTTCTTCTTTTTATTTACTTGCTTGCCTTTATTTTTTTTTCCTTTCTTATTTACGCAGGAAGACAAGCCACAGTTTCTCGCGCTCCACCGTGTAGCACCACCACTCCCCCACAACTAGAAAATCTTATAATCTTGCAAAGTCTCAATGTAAGTTCATCACTGAATCTCATTTTTTTCTTTGGTGTCCTGCATTTAGTGAGTTGATGCTGAAATAAATTTTGTAATCACCACATAAGGGTCATGGAAGCGAAACCAGATTAAGAGCTTGCTGATGAAGAGGTGGAGAGCTTAAACAAACTGTAAGATTTATTGTGCCCTCTTCATGTGAAACCAATCAACTTCTTGATATATTTTTTAAACCATGGTAGTTATTCATTGCTGATTAGCCTGGTTACAATGAAGTTGTTATACCATTTTATTTTATTTTACCTTGAAATTATTTTTCGTTTTTTTTCTTTCTTTTTGAAACCTATAATTTTCAAAGTCCTTAACTTATGGTGATTCTTGATATTTCATTTTGTTCTCTCATTTTCGTTTTTTTTTTTCACAATTCAATCAAAATCTGTGTGTGTAATGTTTTTAATGTTTTATCTTTGGGCTAACGAAAAAAAATTCAGTTCCTTTTTTCTATGATATGCTCTCTAGTGGTCCTTGCTTATCTATACCATAGTGAATAATAGGTCAAATGGACAGCTGAGTTGTTGAACTTGGATGAATTACTCTAACATTATACCATCCTTCCTTGCTTGTTCTCTTACTTGTTCTTATTGTTTTTTGTCTTTTGGAAACATAGCTGATTTCAAATTTTAGATAATTTAGTAGTCAAATTAGATACTTTAGTGTCTGTCAATTACATGTTATGCATACCTACAACAAAAGTATAGAATTTACAATTTTTCATGCATCAAATTCAAGGTAACTCTTGATCTATAATTCTTTGCATATTTAAAATTTTTCTTCATGATGGATCACTCTCAAATTGTAACTATTGAAGATATTGACATGAGTGAAAGTTTAGTATGTGTAGATGATATTGTTGATTTGGAAAAAGACGCGGATGAATTTGGAGAAGATGATCTTAGTGAAATCATGGCAAACAAAGATGGTGAATGTGGGGAAGACAATGCACATGCAATTACGGGAGATGTTGATACCGAATTAAGCAAGGCCCCTATTTTAACTAGAGTTTTTGAGACATCAGAAGAAGCTTATGCATTTTATAATGCTTACGCAAAAGGCAAGGGGTTTGAAATACGCAAGCAATACCATAATAAGAGGTTAATTACAAAACAAATATATAGGTGGAATTATGTGTGCTCGAAGCAAGGTGTCAAGAGACAACATGATAAAAGAGCTGATGTTGACAATGTCAAAAGGCAAAGGGATACAAGGATTAATTGTATGGCAATGTTACAAGTAAAGTTGGTGGATGGCCTATGGAAAGTGGAGAAGTTCAATGATATACACAATCATCCATTGATTAACACTCCAACAAAGGTGAAGAAGTTTCTTTCTCAGAATGAATTGAGACGCTCAGACTTGACAAAATCTGTTGTTTCTAAGCTTTATCAAGAGGGTTTAACATCTTCGAAAATCTCAAAGGTTGTGAGCGCTATGAACAAAGAGGTTAATCTTACTTCCGTTCAAATCAATAGTATTATATATAGCCAGCGAAAGAATAATGTGGGGCGAGAATGTCAGGGCATCATCAAACACTTTCAAAAGAAGTCCATGGTTGATGGAGCTTTTTATTTTGATATGGATTTGGAAGAAGATGGAACTTTAAGAAGCGTATTATGGGCAAATGGTAGGTCAAGAGCTGCATATGCTCATTTGAAGTCCTTGTCTTTGATGTGACTTACAGAACAAACAAGTTCAAGTTTCCTTTTGCTCCTTTTGTGGGGGTTAATCACCATGGGCAGACTATTTTATTTGTTGCCGCTTTGTTAGAAGATGAAACGGAGGAAACATTTATGTGGTTATTTGAACAATTTTAGACGTGTATGTTTGACAAGTCTCCTGTTGCTATTATCGCTGATCAAGATAAAGCTATGGGAAAAGCAATTGCCAAGATATTTCCAGGAGCACGACATCGTTTTTGTGCTTGGCATATAAAGAAACATGTTATGGAGCATAGTCAAGCACTACGTGCACAATTTAAGGATAGTTTTGATGTTGACTTCTGTGCGTGGTATAAAAGTCGAAACATTGATGAGTTTGAAGGCAAATGGGAAGTATTGAATTCTAAATATGATATTAAAACAAATAGTTGGTTGGCTAACATGTATGTTTCACGTCATCATTGGGCAAAGCCATACTTGAAAGATACATTTTTTGCGAGAATGACCACAAGTGGCCAAAGTGAGAGCATCAATGCATTTTTTAATGGATATGTTAACTCTAACACAATGTTAAATGATTCTGTTATTCAATATGACAAAGAAATCAAATCTAGGAGGGATGCGGAGGAAGATGAGGATTTCCAAAACTAGAAATACAAAAGCAGTTTTGGAGATCAATCATCCTATTGAAGCAATAGCTGGAGAACGGTACACAAGAAAATTGTTTGAAATTTTCAAAAAAGAGTGGAAGGCTGCCATACTTGATTATTTTCATGAAAAAATTGCAACATAGGAAAACCTTATCATATATCGGGTGGGGTCTCCTGAAGTTGATAAAGAATGGTGGGAAATTGTCAAGTTCCATTTGACAGAAAGCTTCACAGCTCAATGTTCGTGTGCAAAGTTTGAGACTATGGGGATTTTGTGTAAACATATTCTATACATTATGAAGAAGAAACAAGTAATGACCCTTCCCGAAAAATATATCTTGTCTAGATGGACCATGAATGCAAGCTATAAGGCTGGAAACCTTGTATTCATTCATGAGGAAACAAATCCTAATGAAATTAGTGCATTGTCTTTTTGGTCGATTCATTCAAAGTGCACTATGGCTATTTCTGAGGCAAGAGATTCTATTTTTGAGATTAAAAGGTTTGATGCTATAGTTGCTGAATTTCTGCAACAACAGTTGGAAAGAAAATGAAAAAGAGGTGAAGATGAACTAATTACCCAAATGATTCCACAAGCTTCACTGATTAATGATGTTCATGATCCCACTCAACCAGTCAAAACCAAAGGGCGTCCAAAGCTTGCTTCACGAATAAAATCAAGCATGGAGTTGTTGACAAAACAACAAAAAAACCTGCAGTTATTGTCAAGGGAAGGGTCATAATAAAACAGGTTGTCAGATGCTAAAGGTACTCATTTTTTAAATCGCTATTTATGTTTAAGATTTTCTCTTTAAACTTGATGAAAAATTTGTGAAGTTTCATTTGTAGATGGAAGTTGCAAGAGAGAAGCAAAAAGAATAGTAACGATTGCACATATTTTCATGGTTTTATTTTGGTAAGAAGTTGTTTTTAGTGAAGGGTTTTCATGATTATATTTTTAACTTTAACATTTCAATCTATTTTTCAGGAAATTTTTTGGGGCATTACTGGTTTCATTTGTATGTGGACAAGTTAATACCAGAATTTCGCAATCTTTTTGTAGAGCACTGTTGGTTGGCGAAGTAAATACTAGAAGCACTGTGGGTTTCATATGTATATGGAAAAAAAATTTGTGATCATCAATCACTGTGATCAAGTGTAAAGGATTATGCTTTTTTTGGGACTTTGATCAAATGTAAAGTAACCTGCTGATTTTTGATTTGTACAAAAAACTTCAATGCATTCAGCAAGTGTAATATATCAAAGTTAGAAATGAATGGAGTTGCTCAAATTGTAATTACTCAAACTGAAATTGCTATCAATTATGCTCAAAATGAGTAACAGCGTAATACAATTACAAAAGTCATTATACATATCAAGTAACAATTGGCTTCATCTATTTGTTTACCCCAAAAAAGGCATCAAATAATTACAAGTTTTTAAATCATCTATGAAAACTTTGGTTGATGATCCAAAATTGACAATCATCATCCACTACTCTATAATCAAGTAAAACCATGTTGTCTTCATAACTGGTTCCTCAGTATGTGTGTTTTGTCAATTGTACCGCAATAATTAGAAACTCCCTCGCATCTCATCATCAGAGTATTTCTGGTCCTTCATCTTCTTTGCTTTCTTCAAAACTGGTTGCTCAGTGGACTTAATAGTGTCTGATCTCCATCAATCTGTAAATCAAGGTCAAAAGCAACTTTGTTATTTAAAAGGCACTAAGATTTAGCATACAGATGCTATATAAAAACTCATTCATATGCTTAATGCATGGATTTTCTCCATCAGTCCAAAAACCAAGGTCAAACAAGCAACTTTAAAACTTAAAATGAACAAAGATTAATCACATAGATGCTAGGTAAAACAACCCATACTCTTAATGCAGTACGCACATAGATTTCTTGCAGTACATTTTTTTGTGTGGTGAAATACCCTCACAATTTGTATTCGAGAAGTACATCTCAAGTTTCTCAAATTATGATGTCCACAATTTTTTTGTTTCTTTATCTTAGAATCTTCTCTTTCCAGTGACTTATTCCTGCAAGCGCTTGCTACGAATTTTAAACAATAAAAAATCATAATACAAGTTAGGAGAGACCCATTGAAAAACACAAATCAATACAACCTGTAAAGATCCATGTTTATAACAATTCCAGACCATAGACCATAGATATCCACCTAGTACATGCATAGCCATGTTGAATTTGGGGGGAGTTTTGACACCGTCAACTTCTGTAGTGCCATTTTCTCCATTAGCAGCAAAGATTCCACTCCCAATGATCTCCTTCATTTTATGCTCTTAACAAGGCTTTCTGGAAATTTCATAGCTAGACAATTTCAGATGTCACATATAAAATCACAAAGTAAATTGATCTAATTATATAAGATAAACAGGTAGGATAAAGCTTTAGTTCATAACAAAACTCAAAGTTTAATTTTGAATTCATATCCTATTTGTTTGGAATCACACGTAAGGCAAATAGTTATAGGATATTGCACATGACACCAAAAACCACAAGGTAACATATAATTGAGGAAAACAGCTTTACAAATATTCTACCCCTTTACTTAGAGTGATACTTTATTTTATATTTTTTTCATGCTCACAAATAGAAATCCTTCCTTCCCTAGAGAACAGGTGTTTCTGTATTGACAGATATAACATAACAGATGGCAGTGATATGCCATTTATACAAAAGCTAAAAGATTGTTTAAAAAAAAAAAAAGCTAAAAGATATACTGATAGCAAAAAATGAGAGAATACACATGCATAAGCAGAAACCTACATGCTAAGAAGGTGTTGTAGGTATGCATAACATGTAATTGACATACACTAAAGTATCTAAATTTAGTCCTTAACATGTAATTTAGACAAATTCGAATTTTTTTCCTATATAAAATTTAGTCCTTAATTAATTAATGAAGGAGAGAGAAAGTATTATTTTTTTCCCCAAATTTGAAGCAGAAGTAGTTTCTAAGGAGGCATTTGTTTCACGGTGCGTCACCAAAAACCATAATCAAGAGATTACCAAAAAAAAAAAACCATAATCAAGAACCAATTCGAATTTGGCATATGAAAAACTTGTGGAACAGCAAAAAAGGGATGAAGTGAGTACTTTTCCCAAACAATTATGCAGAGCAGTTAACGCAAATTATCAACTTCAATTATTATAATTACTCCCCCTAACCCTAATTATTTAGTAGAGAAAACGTGTTGAATACAAAAAAAAAATAGATTAACCTTTCTCAGATCTTCGAACCTTTGTGTGCCTTCGGAGTTCACCTCGGTCGATGTACGAACACTAAGTAATGGAATTTAAAAAGAAGAAAAAGAAGAGGCGAAAGGGGGTGATTAGTTTTACAGGTAGAAGAAATCGAGCTTCGTTGACGACATCGTCGAAGGTGTTAGGAACTTCGTTAAGGAAGAGTTGCGGTCTTAGATTATGCGAATCGAAAAATGCTTCACTCTCACTTTCTTCCATTCCCACCAAATTCCACTCTGCATTCGTCTTTTAACTCTTTTCAGAAACAAATAAAAAGGGAAGCAAGTAAATAAAAAGAAGCAAGTAAATAAAACGATGTCGTTATCACTTCCAGGACCGCGTTTTACTTTTTTGTAACATTATATATATAAAGCCCCAAAACTTATATATATGGAAAAGATATTGTAACAACCAATTAGTGTTACTACCAATCAATTTTACCGTTAGATCGATTATGTTGATCTAACGGTTATATTCATTTTTATCTATGTATGATTATGATTCCTCACATTTAATATTTAATATTTATTTTTAACTTGGTTATGATTTCTCATATTTAATGTTTTCACATTAAATATGGAAAATCATAATCATACAAAGATGAAAATAAATATTATGTTGATCTAACGGTTAAATTGATTAGTAGTAACATTGGTAGTAACACTAATTGGTTGTTACAATATATTTTCCCTATATATATAAGTTTTTTGGTACTTACGTCTTTTACATTTTTGCAGCTATTGCACATACAACAATCAAATATTTGCCATATATATACTTGAAAGCATTAAATGCGGGGAATCATAATCATACAAAGTATGAAAGCATTAAATATGAGGAATCATAACCAATACACCTGTCGTTGTTGTACGTAAAGCGACCGCAGAAATGATATATATATATATATATATATATATATATATATATATATATATATATATATATATGACATAATTATATATTTTTATGTTTATTTAATGTGATGTAAAAAGTATATCCTCTACAGTACCCGAAATCCAGAGAGATGAGCAAAAAATCATAATGCATCGTGGCCGCAGCTATGATTTTTTGCAATAAACAGCTAAGCCAAGAAATCAAAATGCAATGCTCCTATACTTTTAATTATTTTTTTTCAAATATATAAAAACTGATTTTAAGAATAAAAGAACAAAAATAAAATCTGTTTGATAAACTTATTTTAAAAAGATTTTTGAAAGTTAAAAAATAAAAATAAAAATTACTTGATAATTTTGTGCTATGAGTATGTTTTTAAAATAAAATAAAAAACTCGTTTGGTTGTTAATTTTTTTCTTGTTAACTTTCTTTAATCATATGTAAAAAATTTATAAAGTTTTTTGAAGACCAAAATAAATTATATTATGTTTACCAATAGATTGAGAGTGTAACTTACTACAATATCCTAATATGTAGAGGATATACTTTTCACCACATTAAATAAACATAAAAATATATAATTATTGTCTAAATAATTAAATAATAACTTACTTTGATTTTGGAATTTTTTAAATGTCATTTACGTGATTTAGATGCATCTCACTTGGCATTGCATGATCAAGTGAGTGTACAGAATAATCCAATGGCTCCTACTTAATCAAAATCTCATATGCTTGGACTGGAAACAAATTACGTTGATATGAGAACATGATTTGTTTCAACGAGGTGAAGAATATGATTAAGTTCCTCAACAAAGCCGTGTATTTGATATTTTCCATTAATATGCTTGACTTCAATTCTTGTTTTACAGTCAGTTCTAGTCTACACGAAGTCATCGTTTGGTTAAGACTTCACTCAATGTCAATGAGCAATTTCGCACCTAACGGCCATGGGACATAAGGACGTGTTTCTGACAATTAGTGTTCATATTATGGTTTGAAATTTTTTCAAATAAACAAAGACTACTATAAAAACATTGGTTATTTTATCGAGACCATATTTTATTTAACCTTATTTCTTCCTTCCCTTCCCACAGTGCTTTACTTCCATCTAAATGCAAAATCCGGAATTTAAAATATTTAAATGGATGCTTAAAATTAAGATTAGTAAAGGCCAAATGCAAAAAATCATATTGGTAAACCAAGATCTGCAACCGCACTTGATCACGCTTTATCAGGAAATGATTTGCAACATGAAGAAAGAAAAACTCCCAATATTTCTGGAGGAAGTTTCCTTCAAGAGTATATCTCGTGAATCGTGATCCACGGCACATGAATACATTTGCACCAGAGGAAACCGCTGGAAGGGATATATCAAGACCATAAACAATGATAAGAAAGTAAAGGCAAATACAACAAACTGTACACAGCCAAAAGAAGGTAGAGAGGAGTCAGCAATCGAGGGTGTAACTACAATTCTAGTTGTCCATGACACATGATTGCTTGGTCATGGTAGTTCGATTGACAACTAGTTGGGTCTAAAACTTTACCAGCAAATATAGCATGTGAACGTCAGTTCAAAATTTATTACACCGTCATCATCCAATTCTACAACATTGGTTAAGAAATGATCAAGAAAATTCAAAGTCAAAAAGAGCCTGATACAAGGGAGAAATAACTATGAAAAAGGCAGGGAGGTAAAAGCATAATGTACTCAGCAAAGTTTTCAAATACAATAACGTATAAAACCTTTGCCTTATGACAAGACCTTCATTGACTTCCATCACCTGGCGATGAGAACTTGAGTGTGAGGCACTAGCTGTTACACTTGATCCCAATGAAAAAACTTTACACCATGTCTTGCTCTTCATCCTCTCCTTTCCCTGGACAAGTTCAAATATTAAAATACTAATTACTAATAAGAAATTTAGATTGCCAAAAACCTTTATAGTGGCTTTACATTACATGTACATAGTATAGCTCTATTCCCCATTATCAGGACATGCATATGCACACATAAAGCATGAGATGCTTTTGTCTGTCATGTGGTAACTTGACATCTAACTTTATGGTGTCACAGTTTTCCACATAGAACTCATTGCTAGCAAATAATAACTGTCAATTAACAATTTTAATGAAGAACTCCAACTATCCAACACTTCAACCTTATCTCTAGTCTAAAGTAAAATCCCCACCATTTGTTCAACATTAAAAAAAAATATACAGAAATAAAAAAAATAGACAATGGTTAGGATTTGCTCACCCACAGTAATTTGTCTAAAGGAAGGATAATTTAATCCAACCGAACCTAAGAGCTTCAAACTTGGGTTGTCGTTAGGAAAGTGCTGCACCCAAAACTTCTTTTCCTTTCCTCCCCTACAAATGGCCATGTGTATAACTCACTACATTAAAAAGCAGCCACAATCCTCATCCAAGGAATAACGAGCACAATTCTTCATGTTACTTTCAAATTATTTATTCCTATACAGATAGAAATTGAGTATCCTAAACCTCGGTCAATGGATGTATGTAACTGACAAAACTTGAGTAAGATCTCCCTTCTGAGACTCCTATTGTTCAATTAAACACGTCTACTTGGGGCTAACAAGGGTAAGTGACAAATACCTAAGAAGACAACTCAGTTAACACAAGCAACAATTTCACCAACTAACTGTTGATTTAATTTAAAATAATAGTTTGCAGCCAGCTTATATGATATCGTTGCTATGGTATTAATACCAAAAATTCTTCCTTAATTTTACAAGCTAAATACTTCCTAATTCCTTATTACATATTGCTCTTGCAATGCAACCCCTTTTTCCTTTAGATCAAATGTTGAAGCACGGTAGAAAGAATTGAGTGACGCGGACTCTTTTATGCCATGAAAAACAGATAAAACACACTCTTAAGCACATTCTATACAAAGCATAGCATCTCACATTACCAAAGTGAATAACTCAGTAACCAGCAACGTTCTGTACCTTATTCCATTGAGGCTTTCCCGCCAACCTCCTTCATCTTGGCAATAATAGTCTCTGCCTCCTCCTTGGTCACACCTTTCTTCAAAAGGGTGGGCACTTTCTCAACCAAATCCTTGGCCTCCTTCAACCCCAAGCTGGTAAACGTTCTCACTTCCTTGATGACCTTGATCTTCGATGCAGCATCAAAAGCATCAAGCTTCACATCAAACGCCGTCTTCTCAGCCTTCTTCTCTTCTTCTCCGCCACCGACTCCGCCCTTCGGAACACCCTTCGGCAAACCCCTCAACCCTGCAACCCCCATTCCTGGCACCATCAGCATCATGATCGGAAGCTCATTGATGCCCTTCTTCTCGCGCATCACTTCGACGAGATCCATCACTTCCAGCAGCGTCAAGCCCATGAGCTCGTCGACAATCGCAGCAACCTTCGAATCTTGCTGCGAATCACTGCTGTAATCATGCGCGAAAACATAACGAGATATGGTTTTTGAGTTTGACCAATGATTGGGTAAGACGTAGGGTCTTGAAATCGGTGGAGAAGTGAAGTTAGGGTTTTGGGTTAGGGTTTTACGGAGATGTGACAGGTGAATCAACCGCAAATACCTCATTGCTGACGGTGATGGTGGTGGAAGAAACGAAGCTACTCGTGATTTCTGTTTTTCATCATTGCATTGAATTGAATCAAAAATGCAGAAATTAGTTAGAGTGTAAAATTTTCAGAGACTGAGTGTCGGAATCTGGTGTTTCGGCCATAAACCCTACACGAAGATGACGCTGATTAATTTTACGCTTTTGCCCCTCCGTTCATGCTGAAATGAAACTAATGGAAGAAGTTCCCAGTGGTGTGGGCCGATTTGGTTCCATTGGGCCAGCCTTTCAGGCCTGCTTGTGTATACAATTACAATGTGTAGTACCTATCCTAATTAAACATTAACCATCTACCCTGTTAAAATATATTTATTAAAAACAAAATTACACAATTATTATTATTGAATAAGGAATTTTATTGAGATGCATAAAATAATTTTCAGTGTTACCAAACTTTTTCATTCATTATTACATGATTTGAAATCTAAAACATATTCCTTTCTTTATTCTATTTATGTTGCATTTTTTTTAATCAATGTAAACTAATTTTGAAATCATTTTGTAAAACTTCAAGAAGCAGCATTATTAGTCGATGCAACTCAATGTACTATTTGGTATTATGTGAAACAAAATACTCTTAAGCCTTTAGTGAGGCAACATGCCCATAAAAGGTGGTCTGATTATGATTAGTATAAGAAAAATACATATTATTATGCATTCTGAAATATAACATAATTCTTACTGAATAGAAAGGTGTTGTGTGGTAGAACTCTGTCTCTATTTATTGTGCTAAACAATGAGACAATGGCTATGGTTAAACTGTATAATGATAAGTAAATTTAAAAAGATATCTTATGCAAATGTATATAAGTTAGGGTTTAATGTTTGTGCTGCAGAAAAAAAAATTCCGCCACACTTACATAAAAGTGAGTGATCTCGTTGCAAAAAGAAAAGAGAGAAAAGATTAGTGAGACCCACTTATTTTTATGTGAGTGTGACAGAGAAATTTTTTCTGCAATAAAAGCAGTAATATTTTTCCTTTTTGAGAATTTTGGGTCATATAACATAAAATCAATAAAAAAGTTGACAATATAATTATGGGATATAGATTTCTCCTGTTACAAGAGGAAAAAAAATTCTCCCGCAGACACACTACAAAGGTGGGGTCCACTGAAAAGAGAAGAGAAAAAAAAATAAAAATGGAACCCACACTTTTATTTTGTGTCTGGAAGAGAAAAAAAGTAGAGAATGTAACTAAAAATAATGGGGAAGATTATTCTTACATTCATTATTGGTCATTGATGCATTTGTATCCAATGATTTATATAACTAAAAAAATTAGAGAATGTAACTTACACTTATTATATAAAATAGAGGAGGGATATTCTCACTACCAAAATTTTACACCACCAACTTACTACCTATCTAATCACTATTAGATTAATATTTTCTCTCTCTTCAAAAACTTTTTAACATTCTCTCTCTTTGATCCAATGGTAATGTGATGGGTAGTAAGTTAGTAGTAAGAATTTTTGGTAGTTAGAATATCCTTACTCTACAAAATAATCCTCACCTTGTAATAATATATATTTTTTAAAATATTATTTTTAATAAAAAGATTATATGCCTGGTTGGGTTAGTTTGATTATAATGTGGTAGTTTCATTTTGTTTCTCAAAATGTGGAGTGACGACAAATAATCATTTTTTTATAAGTATATGGGAACTTACATAAATTTCATGAAAAACACACAATAATGTTATCTAAAGCCTAAACGCCACCAGTGGACACACTGTTACACTGGCAATGGCTTCATTATCAACTCATCATAGAAAAGAACAGATTTTTTATTTTGGGGATAAACAAAAGAAACATAAATAAAATGCAGGTGCAACTTTTACAGATGGCTTTATATATATGGCAATGATATTGCTTCATCAAGTGTTAATCTTGCGGCAGTTCTTTCTGATCTCTCCCATTGAACCAGTCAAAGGAGATATGTTTCCCATCTTGATCATGGACTTGGCGAATTGTTCAAAGAAAATATCGTTTCTTTCAGCATACAACTTCACTAATTCTGCTGATTCTGGATTCTTTGTGAAGAGAACTTCATCAGAGTTTAACAGACCCTTATAAGCCAAAAGGTTCTTGAAGTAGCTATTGTCAAATATTGTTGGGGTGGCAAAGTCTAGAAAAAACAGATTCTGATCTCCTCCAGATCTTGGACACCGAGTGCGCAATTCAGTAGCATAGTATTGATCAAGAGTGTAGTCTCCAATGCCATTCCCAGATTGGTTGTAGAGTCTTTGCCTGAAGCTGGTGCACCTTGAATCTCCTACAGTGTGGCTCCCTATAGTAAAAACAAAAATTGTTTAGGATTCAGCTATGAAATACTAAAATGCAAATGGTACTCAAAAATTTATAAAAAGAAAGAAATTGGGATAACTTTGACTCAAGTTGGTGCATTACAAAAAGGGGTAAAGGATAAACCTCGATGCACGAGGCTTCTCGACTAACAAAGGTAAAGGTGAAGGTTCATTATATGCATCATTAACCTTATATTTTTGAAAAGAGGCCGTAAAGAATCAATTCAATCCAAAAGTTTAAATTGTTGGATGATGGTTTTTTTAATGGTTTATACTATTCTCTAACACGCCCCCTCACACGAGAGCTCACTGGACTTGAATGGTGAACAATGCACAGATCCACCTATCTATGCTAAGAAACACCCACAAGACTTAATTAATTATGAATTAAATGAGGGTGATGAGAATCGAATTCGTGACATCGAGGCTCTGATAACATATAAAGAACCAATTCAATCCAAAAGTTTAAGCTGTTGGGTGAGGGCCTTTTTAATGATTTATATTATTCTTTAACAAAGACTATCTCCTAGACTCAAATATGTGACCTTCCGATAAAAAGGAGCAACCTTATTGGTGTTTCAAGACTCGCTTCGGTGACAATATGAGTTTGATATATAATGGATGAACAAGCCAATAAAATTCTGCCCATAAATCAATTATGTTTCTGAATACAAAAGACTAGAAACAGATAAGTTTATGAAGTCTACCAGATAGAGCAACTAGATCAACAATGTCAAGCCCTTGAAGATTGAATTTAGTTAGGATTGTCTGGAATGTGTTGTTTGGGGCAGGAATGTTGTTGTTGGAGCCACTTAAGCTTGCACCTAGAGAGTCCCTTCTGCCTAAAGGTACTTCCCAGTTTGGTCCCCCAGTCTGTGCATAAAAGGGATAGTAAATTAGGCTTGGTAAATGACAATGTAAATCTTGGTAGTGACTAGTGAAAGATTAAGGGTATAGGAGTTCAAAGAAAAAGGAAATACTTACAAGAACAGTTGAATCTCTGGCAGCTAGAGCCAAAATGTCAGCACAAGACACAGTATAAGGGCATTCTTTCTCTAATGCAGATTTAATTTCATCAATGACTTCAAATCCTCGAGCTGAATTTCGGTTGGGATTTGACCCCTTCTCACTGATAATGTTTCCACTACTATCTAAGAACAATGAAGCATCACAACCCTGCAACATCAATTTGGAATTATGCATTTAAAAAAGAAATAAGGTATAATAATACTTTGTTTAGTTATTTACCAATAAGACTAATATCATATAGTCATGAAAATACTAATAACTAGTTTGTTTTTGTTTACTTAGATCACTAAGTTAATGAGCTTGTTATCATGACATAGAAAGATAGATACCTTGACAAAACAATCATGGAAATGAAGTCTCAGAATTGAAGCAGCCATGCGGGGTTCCTTTTCAACAGCCTTGGCAAGGATGGACTTGACAATCTCCTGAGCTTGTGGGCATGAATAGTCATAAAATTGTGGATAAAGGTAACCCCCAAATTTCTTGCTACAAAGACAGAAGGGAGCAAAGGCTAGTAAAGAAAGAAGCAAGAGAAAGCTAATAGAATTGGCCATTGTTTTTTCTTTCAATATCACTTCAAAGAACAAGAAATATTGAAGAGTAGATGAAGATGAGTATTCAAACTCGATTGCATGAGTGGTGATATGGGGAATTGTATTTATAGTGAAGAATTTGGCGGAAAAAAGTTATTGCATGAGAGAGAAGGAGCATGGAGAAGGAATAAAAAAAGTTGGAGTTGGTAGCTATCTAATTTTCAAATCCATATAAAAGAGGAAGAGAAGAATGGAGTTAGTAGCTTTCTTATAAAAATATTTACCTAGTTTGAATGGTTCAGATATTATCTAAATTTATATAATATAAATTTAGGAGAAGGTTATATTTACAAATTTTTTGTTTAAAAAATATTTAGTGTAATTTATAAAAAAAAACTTGTAAACGGATGCTTAACCATAAATTTAAGGGATAAATGAATATAATGTTACAGCAAAACAAAAACTTGTCCAGCTGAAAGATCGATTTCCGTGTTTTCTATTTTAATTCTAATTTTTTTATAAAAATGTAGGTCCCGTGATTGTTTTGTTTCAGCAGGAAAATTTTGTTTTTTTCATGTTACACAACGTTAGCTTAACCCTAAATTTAATATGATGCTATGCATTTATGTTTAATGACATGATAAAGAACAAATTATGATCAACAAGACTTCCCAATTTGCGAGGTAGTAACGTGGGTTAATTGTTTACGACTTTAAACTTATATTTTTTACAAAGAGATTGTTTTTCAAATTTGAATTTGTGACCTCCTAATCACATTGTCCTCTTTTGTGGCATGTTATAATGAAAAATATCTTTAAATACTATCATATTATAGAAGATTTGGTACATTATTTTATGAACGGTGATAAAAAAAAAAGTAGCAAGATTAAATAGGTAGGCAATATAACCATACCCTCTCTAAGTAACTAAAAAATAAAATAAATAAATCATATGTTCAATCCTCCCCAATATCACTTTTGGAAGAGATTTAAAGCCTTAATCCTGAACCCGTCCCGAATTGAATTAGTCGTAAAGCGACAAGTCGATGAAATATTAAAAAAATAAAAATTATGTAAGGATTTTGGAAACTTAGGAAGGGGGAGGGGGCGTGAAACAGTGCGCCACCGTTACTTATTGTTTTCGCGAAATCTTTTTATTATGTTGTTGGAGATGAGTTATCTTATGTTAGTAAAATAAAATTATAAGATGGATCCACAAATGATTGGATAGAAAAAAAATAGAGGTGAGACCCACCTTTGTTATGTGCGTATAGAAAAATGGATTATCTTATATTGAATGAGATAAATATAACTCATTGTTTTTATTGGATTAATTTAGTATTGTAAGAGTAGATAAGAATTTTTCAATGTACGCGGAATGCATAATCACCTAAACGGCTAAACCTATAGTCGTGTTAAGGAAATAGTTTAGAGCTTAAGTCTAAGCTAACAGAACAACAAAAATTTAAGTTTAGCATAAAGTAAACATGCTTGACATAGAAAAGGCCATGAGTATTGAACCTGGTTGCTTCAGCATTGTTACCGTATTCTTGCAGTAAGAGTTTTATACGAGTATATCTTACCCTTGGTATCTTATTATTTCAAGACCTGTATGAATTTCCTTTCTTTGTCATTTCTTATTCACAATCATTTGCTTTTCGTTAGACAAGTACTTGGCTTGTACATTTTATTTAGTACAACTTAAGGCCAAAGACTAATTGCTTTTCAATCAGCCAACCCAATTACAGTTTTGATGTTTCACTTGTCCTAAGCTTGAGGCTTGAGAGTCCATAATGCTTCCAGATAATTATTACAATATGAAACGCCAGCTCGGTCAATCTGCAGGTATTGTTCTGTGTCTTATTAGACAGTGTCCCAAAAAGTTAAGGTGGACTCACCTGCTTAGTTGACTTCAACATTCAGCTTATCAAATTATTGACTTAATTTCTTAGCAAAATGGTTATGTGAGAAGGGTACACAAGCCAGCTAAAATTTATTACTTGAATTAACGGTGAATCTCCCAGAAGCAATTCTTCCATATCTTTCCTTCGATTGATTCATGTTGTTTTATAGAACCAAAGTTTAGTCGGCTACATAAAAACAGAATTGCTTTTTGACCCGTTCGCCCCCTTCCTTACATGATCACTGCGGATACATTATTAAAATTTTTACTCTGATTCACTTTTTCTTCATCTTATAAAGATACAGTTGGCAGCTGTCCTACTCGACCTCCATCAAGTGGGAATGCTTTTTGACTTCAAAATCTTCAACCAATGGGAATTTTGTAACGTGGTCCAAGATCATGGTCCTTCCACTAAAATATTGACAGTTAAATTAATTTTTTTTCTCTTTCATCTCTCCTCAACCTTTTCTTCCTTTCCTCACCGTAGTCCCACCAAATAATTTTTGGTCCGGGACCTTAGAAACTTTGCTCCAACCAATGTTAGTATTCGGATACAAGACATCACACTTCTACACATTAATTTTAAAAAATATTATATTTTGATATGTTAGGACACATTTTGATATTAAATAATATTTTTTATTTATATAGTGTATATTATATTTAATATTCAATAATTTAAAATAAAATAAAACTAACATTATAATACCCCTCAATTTTGCAAAAATAATAAAATATCTCAAATATTTGGAATAGGTTATTCTGCCTACTCTTATTTTGCCTACCTTTGCCTACCCCTTTCAATACCGTTGGACTATAATATTATCCAATGATGGGGATTTACTATATAAAATAAAATCTTTTACCCCTTTCTCTTTCTCAATGCCTCTCATTCTTTCTCTCTCTCTTTAATGGCGCTTCAGCATCAAAAGAAGGTGCAAGCTTTTTTCTCAATTCATCCAACTCAGCTATTGTTATGAGCATTTACATAAAAAATTGAAAAGGGGTGTCAAGAAGAAACAAATCCAGATGTCATATAGGTATGCATGTTGTTGGGCGTAACATAGAAAGAACAGAGATCCTTTCCCCACTTCAAGGTGAAAAAAAAAAGATAAGAAAAAGAAGGAGATAAGTTGATTCGATTTCAAATTTCAATAGCAAAATAGAAACGTTAGGGTAATCGTGGATTAATTCAAAGGAAGGGATTCTTCGTGGTTTTCATTTTTTTGTATTTTTGTGGTTTCTGTCGTGTTCAATTATATCAGATTCAAGGAATTTTGAAAATTATATCCATCCAGCAGAATTATCATGTCATTAATCATTGATTGGATTTAGATTCAAATATAAATTCAGATTGTAAATTACGCAAATCGAAAGAGAGAAAGGGGAGGAGAGAGAAAGAGTGTGGGAGGTAGTAAGAAGAAAAATTATTTTATTCTGCAAATCTCCACCATTAGATGATATTATAATCTAATGGTGTTAAGAGAGATAGGCAAAATAAGAGTAGGCAGAATAACCTATACCCAAATATTTATACTAAACTCATTAAAAGAATAATTATAATCCAACGAATTTAATAGTTGAAACTAAAAACATAATGTAACGCAACCTTCAAACCGTTTTTTGAATCTTTACAACTCGAGTTGGAATGTCGAAAAATATCGGAGTATCCAAATTTGTTAAAGTGTCGGTGTATTATATATAGCCTTCAACAATAGTTTTTTTTTTATTTTTTTTATTTTTTTTATTTTTATTTTTAAGCCCTCTCTGACCAAAACCAGGAACGAAAGTCTTGATGCAATGTAGTGAGGGAATAGGTATGGTTGGTAACCTACTTTTTTTTCCAGGATAATAGTCTAATCTTCTTCAACTAGAGTTGTCATCTTTTGGTTTAGCATTATGCTTAGCTTTACTTATATTTTAATTTTGCGTGATAGAGCATATGCTATGACCATTGAAAATAATAGCAACCTTGGATTATACTAAGAGTTGTTTTAGAATGCTCCAGCTATGTCTGTCCGATCTTATTCTAACTTGTATCATATAGCTCGAGCTACAAAGAAATGAGTGTTTTAAATGAAAAAGTGGGATATGAACTAGAGTTAATATGCCATCTTCTATGATGTACTCTAGCGTGCGTGCAATACACTTGGTAAATGCATTACGTCAGAAATAACATGTGGATTTGGAAGATCATAAATACATATCAAAACCTATCAGAAGGCTTGCTTGGTGTAAGAACCTAAACCTCTACCCCTTAAAAGTCACTCTTCCAAAGTTTTATAATGAGAATGACAATTATTTTTTCCTTTTGTAAATCTACAAAGTGCTTTTTTCTTAAGCTAAAATTTATTAAAGAATAAATATCTTTTTTGGTCCTCAGCAAATTTGATGCCCGCTTTAGTCCCTAGCAAATAAAAAGGTTATTCATGGTCCCTAAGAAATTCAAAATGGACCCATTTAGTTAAAATCGTGGTCCCTCACATTCAAAAAAGACCTATATTAGTCCCTCAAAAAGACTAAAATTGATCCACTTTAAATTTCCTAAAGACTACGAATAGCCTTTTTATTTGTTAGGGACTAAAGCGGACATCGTAAAATTTGTTGAGGATCGAAAAAAGTATTTAATATTTATTAAACTTATGCTAGGCAAAACAAGTAAAATAAGGTCTTCCACTCATACCGCCGATTTCATCGGCAATCAATTTGTTTCCATCATTATCATAATTGCTACTAATTTGAAGCAACTCATATTTCTATTAGTTCGACCAATAAGATTAACTCATCACAACAAAAACATCAACCACAATTAAGCTCATGCATTATCCCACAAAATGGTAAAAAAAAAAAAAAAAAAAAAAAATGGACTAACTTACATCGATCAAACAACACAACTGAACTATATCAAAAGTCAAAATTTCAATAAGATCCGTTGAATGCAATTCAGCAGCTAGATTCATGCTATAACTACCTCTTCTTTACTTCTAGCTGTGAATTTTGTTAACAAAGAAATACATGATGACTGAGGCTTCAAAATCCCATAATATGAATTGATCCAAATGACATTCTTGGCAGAAGAAATTCCAAAGAATTAGATAAAATGTTAACGTACTGTCAGTAAATAAAGCAAAAAGAAAAAAGTGAGTGCACATTCAAATGGCGCCATATTGTCTTTCTCTTGGTTTCCATGCACCTTGAGAAGGACCAGGAGGGCGCTCCCAAGTGGTTTCGCTGGCAAAGGCACTTTTAACATCTTCTGGCCGTGAGTAGCCTTGCCCAACTCCATTAACCTATTTTCATGAGGCATTCAACAAATGTTAGATAAACATGACTTGAAAAGGGAAAATATGGAAATATTATTCATACTCAGAGAAATATTTACAAGGTTACAATATTTACAAAAAAACTAATGGGCCTAAAATGGTAACCCCAAATCCTAAACATAATCTGTCTAAATCCTAAACAAATCTGGCTAATAAAGGAAACAAATAATTACATATATTTTTTCAATATTTACAACACTACTTCTCAATCTGAGGAATGAGTGTTTATCATTCACAGCTTGTCAGTAAGTTCTTGAAATCTGTCTGTGGGAAATCCCTTGTTCAAGACACCTGGTAGTTAACGACCAGAGGGAATATAAGGTGTATTAATTAGTTCGCTGTCAAATTTTTCTTTGATAAAGTGACGATCAATCTCAATATGCTTGGTTATGTCGTATTGAACGAGATTGTGAGCTATACAGATGGCTGATTTATTATCACAGAAATACTTCATAGGTCCTTCACATCTTATTTTGAGATCATCTAGGATAATTTTTAGCCATAATAATTCACAAATGCTTTGGGCCATGACTCGAAACTTTGCCTCAGCACTTGATCTAGCAACCACATTGTGCTTTTTACTTCTCTAGGTTTTTAAATTTCCTTATAGAAACATTCAGTAGCCCGAGGTTGACCGTCGATCCATTACGGACCCAGCATAATCAGCGTTAGTATATACTTCCAAGGATAGATTTTTCCCTCCTGAAGTAGTAGTCCTTTGTCTGGAGTGACCTTTAGATACAGGAGAATTCTGTCTACTGCATGCATGTGTTTCTCCCTTAGGTCATGCATGAAATGACTGACAATGCTAACTCCATAAGCCAAATCAGGTCTAGTATAAGCAAGATAGATCACTCTTCCCACTAGTCGTTGATATAATAACCCTCACTAGTAGTTGTGGATTTAATATTGAAGAAAAATTATAAGGAAAGTAGAAAAAAGAAAAGAAATAAAGTCACATTTGGTTAGAAAGGAGTTAAAATGACAGTTAAGAGGTAAAAATGTAGGTAGACAAAATTACCCAAAAATTGAAAGTGATGTTAGAAACATGAGTAGAAAAATATTGTAGTCTACTAGGTAATGTTTGGTAATGAATGGAGGTGTGTAGATAGATAAGCTTATACCCACTGGTAAAGTAAACTCACTTAAGTGACTAAGTGAGTCATTATTCCCTATTCTTCTTCGCGTCTTCGTCCCACGATCGACAGATGGAAAAATGGAAAGTAAAATAGAGATTTTGATTTCAAATCTTCCAAAATTCATAACTTAAGCTAGAGACCTCCAAATCACTCCGTTCCAAAGTTAAACTTGTGAGAGATTTCGAGAGGAATCCGTTGGTACCAGTATTTTTGGGTGGGGTTCACTGTAGAGAGAGTTCTTCCTCCCTAAGATTTCGAATTTCATGAAAAAGATGGGTTTTGATGGAGTTTGAAGCCATGGGAGCTTAGAAATTCATCTCTCCTTTGTTCTAGAGTGTATTGTGATAAGAAATTCTCCTCCTATTCATGTTGTTATGGAGATTGAACTTAGGTTTTCATTTTGAAAGTTTGGCTTGTTTGAGCATGTTAGAGCTTGATTGAGGCTTAGCTCATGTTGAGAAAAATGTTTAGATGAGGATTTTAACGGTGAAAATGTATTTGGAAAATTTAAGATACCGTATTTTTGAATAGTGTCGTATACGTGAATAGTGACGTATACATGAATAGTACTGTAGAGATGAACAGTACCGTATGTATGCATTGATGATGGATAATAATGGAAATATGTTCCTTGGTTATAGTGCGAGACCAAATGGACTTATGGAGCAAGAGCATGGACTAGAGCAAGATATGGACTTTGAGCAAAGCTCTTGATTATTTGAGATTGAGGTAAGTATCAAACAATGGTTTGATGTGAAACTTATATGAAATGAATATATGTTTAATTGTGATAAATTCACCATGGATAGGTGTGTTGGTCATTTGTTGAGCATTTTATTGGCTTGTGGACCCTTTGACTTGGAAGAGGCTAGAAAAAGAGCTATTCCAGGTAAGCTTTCGATCCTTGGGGTTAATCCCCCGTTTGTTCCACCAAACTCTGAGGGAGTGTGATAGTTTGATATGGTATGTTGAAAATAATTTATTATATGTTGCATGTATATGTATGTATGTTTGTGTGCCACACAAGATGGTGTTTCCTCGTGTGAGGCATAAGACAGTGTTTCCTTATGCGTAGTATGAGACGGTGTTTCCTCACACGGTATGTTGCAAGACAGTGTTTCCTTGCGTAATGCATACTTGTTATATTCTCTGGCCAGTAGGATTACATTATTCCACACTGCATTGTCATACATATTCTGATGCATGCATGGATATTTTATGTACTGTGATTATACCAGAAGTAAGCTTAGGGGTGGAGGAGCCCTCCAAGGGTCCCTAGCTTACTGAGGTAACTATATTATCTCACCCCGCGTTATGGGAATTACCATTTCAGGTACATGAGCTGATGGTGTTGAGGCATCGCGTGGCGAGAGGCCAGATGAGAGATACTATCTGACATGATAGTATGATTTGATTGATATGCTGATGAGTATTTGGCATGAATTTATTTTGGATATGTATCTATATGCCATGTCATTATTTTGAGAGCATAGGAGATATCTATGCCATGTTGATAGTTTATCTATTTTGTTAGTTATGTCTGTATATATATAGGTTACTTATTTGATTACATCTTTTTTGGTTGGTTGATGTAATCATGTAAGTAACTCTATAGATATTATTTTGAGACCTGATATGATTATGAGATAGCCTACGCCATGGATGGCTGGATAATATGGTTTATGCTTGGATTGTATTAAACTGCCAATCAGGTTGAAATTGTCTAGGTGGGAATTATCCCCAGTGGTCCAAAATACAGAGGAAATGCCGTCCGTTTTATTTTGGCCATTAAAGTGAAAAGGTTTGCAATACATAAAGAAAAAGAGAAAATTTATTCAGTTAGCTTCCGCATTAATTAAGTTGAACATGTTGTGCTTACTATCATATGAATGTTAATTAACCGGCTACAGACGGAGCGTCACAGTTGGTATTGCCATTTGCCAACTGGAGGACTCTCCTCTTCATTCCGCAGCTTGTGATTTTGCTCAACTGGGTACTGGAAGGTTAACATCCAAGCTTTTCCGCTTCTTTATAAAAGGTCAAGGATGTACTTTCTTTGTCGGATAAAGATACCTTCTCGTGAATGGGCAATCTCAATTCCAAGGAAATATCTCAGTTTTCCAAGATCTTTAACTTCAAATTCACAAGTCAATTTCTCTTGCAGGACAGGTTTCTCAACTATATCATCTCTTGTGATAATATCTGTAAAGAACCAATTCAACCCAAAAACTTAAGCTGTTAGGTGAGGCTACATTAATGGTTTTATATATCTCTAATGCGCCCCCTCACAAGATAGCTCATTGGGCTTGAAAGGTGGATGATGTATCAGGCTCAGCCTACCTAAGCTAAGAAATTCCACAATACTTAATTATTTATTAATAGAATGAGGGGCAGTGAGGATCGAACCCTTGACACCGAGGCTCTGATACCATGTAAAGAACCAATTCAATCCAAAAGCTTAAGCTGTTAGGTGAGACTACATTAATGGTTTTATATATCTCTAACGATATCATCAACATAAACTAGGAGAATAGTGATCTTACTTCCTTGGGAGTATTTAAAGAAGAGTGTGTGATCTCCTTGACTCTGCTTGTATCTCAATGATACCATAACCTTGGTAAATCTCCCAAACCAAGCACATGGTGATTGCTTTAAGCCATACAGAGCTTTCTTCAATCTACAAACTTTATTTTCTCCATTTGTGGAGTCAAATCCCTGTGGGATCTCCATTTTATCTTCCTCTTCTAGCTTGCCATTGAGGAAGACATTTTTCACATCAAATTGATTTAAGTCCCAATTATAGTGAGCAAGGGACAATAAAGCTCTCACAACGTTCATTTTAGCCACCGGAGCAAATGTTACCTCATAATCAAATGTCATATGTCTGTGGGTAACCTTTAGCTACTAATAGTGCGTTATACCTCTCAAGAGTATCTCAAGAGTACCGTCAAAGTTATATTTCAAAGTATAGACCCATCTGCATCACACTGTTCTCTTCCTATTTGGCTTGTCAACAATTTCCCATGTTCTACTCTTCTCCAAGGCATTCATCTCATCATGCATGGCTTGAACCCAATTTTCATTTTTTAATGCTTCATGCACTGATGTTGGGGTTGAAATAGAAGACTAAATTACAAGAAACCAACTTCTACTTTTAATTGATACAATTAACTCTCATGTACTATAAAATTAAAACAATTAAACATATTTAAAAATTTTAAGACACAAATACGCTCAGTATCAATTCACCACCTGTTTGCCACTTCAGCCATGGTCTGGATTTAATTTACCAAATGAAATCCCCATTTGATGTCATCCTTCGCTTTCTTGAGGTATCTTCTCCATCGGGGAGTGCCGGCAACGAAGTAGGAATCATAAGTGTGATGTCAACATACATGATGGTAACTGGTAGTGTTGTGGTGCATGTGGCTTCTATCACTGCTTGTTCAGTGTGCTCAAGCAAGTGAGAAACCCTCGAATTGTCTCTCCGTTGAATTTGTGGCCCACCTTTCGGGTCAGCGGGAAGATCCTAGCGATGCATATCACGCACATCGCTATTCTCCACAGGCATCCCTTCACCTTATGGTGGGGCTCCTTCAAATTCTTTGCCGCCATTGATGTCGTCAATAACATCAGAATAACGAAGGTACTCGTACTGGTTTTGTTGTGTCCATAAGGAAACTTATTTCAGTTGAATCACCATCAGCTCTGGCTGGATCACCATTGGCGTCGTCATCTTGGAGATATCAAAAATGTGTCGTCTTCTTCGTTGAAATCACTGTCGTATATAGAGTTCACATATATTATTGTAAATATTAGAATTATTTTATTATTATTTTGTAATAGATAGAATACTCTAGAAGCTTATTTGGGCTTAGCCCATTAGGACTTTTTAATCTCTTTAAATAGAGATTCTTCTATAGATATACTTACAATTCAATTATATACAAATCTTTCTTTACATTTCAATTTGATATCAAAGCTCTCGATTCTGAGGACTCTGCTTCTGCAAACCGCCGCCTGAAAAGATGGAACCCTATTTGCCTCTTGCCGCCACCGGAAAAAATTTTCGGGAACCTTTTGGACCAAGAGGACTACTATTTCATTCCATTTTCTCAGATCTATCATTCTACGAAAGTTTTTCTTTCACCAGACGACCAAAACAACTTTAAAAGACGCCAAACAACACTATTCCGACAACTTTTTGACTCCGACCAGCCACAGACACGTTCGCGCTCGCCAGAGGACCTCGCCGTGAAATGTCAAGCTCGGGCGGACCTCGCACGCGCTCTCACGCGCCACCAGTCCTTCTTTGTTGGATCTAAAAAAGGAAAAGAAGCTCTGGTGAGGTGGCTTCGCTGAGATCATAACAGACCCATCAGATGGCTCTGAATTAGAATTAGACGAGTGAGAAGAAGTGTGTTTAGATGAGACCATAATAGATTCATCTGGCAACTTAACATCCAACATGACCACTATGCAACTCTCTTCTCCCCTGAAAGTTTGAAACACTTCACAAAGAGAGGGTAACTTTTCTTCACCGAGAATCTAAACTTGGATATGGTCTTATTTAGAGTTGAGGCCTGCAAGAAAATCAAAGATCTGATCCCTTTCAACCGATGTTTCCAAGGCAATGGCATCCTCAATGCATTTCATCTTCAAGCTTCGATATTGATCAAGCTCAGTCCAAAGCTATCTGTTACAGAGAGGGAGCCTTGTCTAGTAGAAAATATCTTATTCCTCAATTCATAGCATGTGGAAACATCTTGTTTCATAAAGTACGTTGATTGAAGAACCTCCCAAATCTCAAGGGCGATAGGTAGAACATGCAATGCTGACTCACTTTAACGGTCATAGAGTTTCACAGCCATGTCATAATAAGGGAGTCTTCAACATCCCTTTTAGCAAACTTAGGGTCTCTTTTGGCAGGAACAGGCCTTTAAGATGAGAAACCTTACGTCATCCTCTGAGAATAGTACAAACAAGATGAGACCACTATGATATGAACCTTGGAAGAACTCCACCCCAAAAGCTAGTTCGTAAGGTAGGAGAGCCTAAAGTCCATATAAACCCCACACCATAACCTTATGTTTCTGATATGGGACTCCAAATCTCATACCTTGCAATTGGATCGTAACATTCCACCATGATTCACAGCCTTGGCACCCACGCGGCCTGGCTTTGCACTAGTCTTTTACTGGCCTGGGACGAACACTGCAATGCAGCATCACCAGCCGCACAACTCGATTGCAACTAGAAGACATAGTGGAAGGCTCTAATACCAACTGATACGAACCTTGGGAGAGCCTCACCCCAAAAGCTAGCTCATAAGGTAGGAGAGCCCAAAGTCCATATAAATCCCACACCAGAACCTTATGTTTTCGATGTGGGGCTTTAAGTCTCATATCTTGCAATTGGATCGTAACACACTGTAAATAATTCTTACCATTGAGTCGATAATTCTGATGTAAAGCGGGGAGATAATTTGGATTAAGAGAAACAGTTGGCTGAATAGCAGACAATGTGGAGTGTTTGTAGCGCTCTCAACATCCGACAAAATGCTAAATGGGCCAAGAAAAAGCTTTTAGTCACACAAAATAGTGTGGGAAATACCAATGAAATCTCCGTCGACTCCAAACAGTGATAAGAAGATCAGATCTAAGCAATGGAGGTTCAAGCAACTCAAATATGAAAGAAAAAAATCAGATCTTTGCCACAAAATTGGATCTTGATGCCTGAGATCACAAACCAACAACCCAAATGATGTCCGATGACCAAAGTGAGGGCATATCAGAAGAGGAGGTGAGTGGGGGACCATGTTTGCCCGTGGTAGACGGCGAGAGGCCACCGAAAAATGTCTCACGCTCCAGCAGAAGGTGGCGCATGACTACCATGCGCAGAGGAAATTTGAGCGAGTGAGCGTGTGATGGCTCTTCATTCGAGGTAGGTCTTGGGGCGTTGGATAGATCAACTCCTAATTCTGTTGAGGTAGGTTTTTGCTGGAACGATTGCCATAAAAATTTTCTGGTGGGGCCTGACAATGGCTAATGGCGGCTGTCAAAGGTTGGTTGCTATGGCGAAGACTGGAAAAGGTTTTAGGGAAGATGTATTTGAAGAATGGTTACTAAAAAACCGCACTAACGGCGAAGAACGAACCAGCACATGAGGCAGGACTTGCGACTAAAGGCAGACAGCTACACTAGAGGCAGGCTTAGGGTTTAGCAGAAGCAAAGGCTCCAAGATCTGAGCTTTGATGCCACTTCAAAGGGGAAAATATGGATATATTATTCAAACTCATAGAAATATGTATAAGGTTACAATATTTATAGAAAAACTAATGAGCCTAAAAGTATAAACCCAAATCCTAAACATAATCTGTTTGAATCCTAAACAAATCTGGCTAAACAAATAATTACATATATTTTTTCAATATTTACAACAATATGCAAATGAGGTAGCAGGCCATCCACAAAACAAACTTATAAACTTCAATTCAATTGTTTTTTCTGTGCAAGGTCCCATTGACATTTTCATTTCTTTTTACTATTTTGAAAAAAATAAAGTACAAAATTTCAGAACTTACACATGGTGCATTTAAAATTATATCAGTAAAGAGCAAGCCATTTACATCAAATGCCATTGGTGATGTTTATAATACTGCACTTCTGCATATTTAAATATTTTCAATATAAACAATTTCACATTTGTACTTTCAATTTAACCACAACACTTCCATTAATGAAGACAACTGGGGAGTATTTTTCATATTCACATTTTGTCTATAAATCTGCAAAAAAAGCTCCTCACGTGTTTTCCCAGGTAGCACAATAAAATATATAGGGTGATGAATGAATATGCAAATATTAAAACTAATTAAAAAATAAAAAAACAATATTCGCTCTCCACCAATCTTATTTCTCTACACAAGTTTTTTCTCTCATCCAATTTTCTTTTTGCCTATTTGGATAAATATAAAAATGAAAAATATTATTATAATAAATAGTATCTCATGCTTAGCATGTGTTTAAGATTTCTCAAATCCATGGCATAATGTTTTAGTAGTGTCATGTCCAATATTAAGTTTAATCAAACTCAGACTGAATAAGACTAATTTGTTGATGATTAGCATAGACCTAATACATCATAAATTTCAGAATTAACCCATTATTAATTAATTTCATGTCAACAGTTCCAATAAAACAATAAACATTAGTAGGAGCTCTAAACTCACTGTCTCTAAGCAGGCAGATAGGATTGTCATGCCAGGCAATGCATCAATTCCACGCTGCAAAAGGATAACATAACAGATATTTAAGATGTATGTGTTTTAGCCTATGACTAAGCGGAAATTTAGCAACTATCTTATGCTAGCAATTTGCAAGTGAAAGAGAAAAATCCTGACCTGGCGTTCCACTTTTGTCTTGTATATGAACCCTCCACAACAAAAAAGTGTAGAAGAGACAAAGAATCTGCCCAATAACAAGTTCCCATATATTGAAAATATGTGAGGAAAAAGAATAAGGCAACACTGACGCGTGACAAGACAATGAGAAGTCTGTTTTATGAGCTACATATAGTATTGAACCCCTAAATCTAGGTTTTATTTTTTATTTTTTTAACTTGGCATAACCACAACACAAATATAAAATATAAGAGAGAGTTTTTATTACATGCAGGATAGCACTCCAAATATTGCCCATCCTCTTGTGGTACCTCCACCTCGATCCTGCTTATAGTCTGCAACAATGAATAAATAGGGCTAGCCATTCATTTAACTCAAATGTAAGAAAGTTAAAAAATAAAATAAAATGTAATACCATTGGCATAAGGCCCATAACTGTCCTGTCTTCCAATCCCAGAAATTAAATACATATAAAGCACAAGAGGAATACTCGAATAGTAGTTGAGTCTATAATTTTCTGGGTAAGTTAGTATCACTCACCACACATTTTTGTAAGCACAAATTGAATTGGCTCATAACCCTCAACTGGAATTGTGATATTAACTTCATATGGGGTATCACGGGCCACCTCACCTGGAAAAGAGTTGAAACATAAAAGTTTAACACGGACAACTCTACACGAAATTGATGCTCCTAAAATACGTGGTACCATACATCTCCAATCAACAATCAACATTGTAGGTGACAAAGTAGTAGGAGGCCTTCCATAGGCGGCAGATCCAGACAATTTAACTTCCAAGCCCTTATTTGGAATGACCTGATATGCAGCAATCAACAATGGTCATATTCCCAGTACCTTGAGGAAAGACGATAACGGTTTCCCAGAGACTAAACCACTAAAAAAAGTACCTGTAAACTAGGTTTTTGAACCAAGGAGGAGAGTGAAGAAATTGCGGTCATAAACAGGACTACCTGAGCTTGCCCTGTCTGAATGCTGTAAAAAGATAGCAAAACACATTATTTGTAACAATTGAAGGAAAGTTTGGGTAAGTGAAGCACACATACATACTACAGCTGATAACAGATGAATAAAATGTCAATGATCAACAAGAAGAAGTGGCAGCGGCAGGAGCAGCAATCCTGACCTAAAATCACGATTGAGTTTCTCAAAACCAAATTGAGTCATGCCATTATAAACCTACAATTTCACGAAAAGTGAATTCATTAAGTATTATAATTTAATTGACTAAACCCCCATTCCAGTCCTGAAAAACTCCGGGAACAAAATTTTGGTCCTGAAATTACATCAAAATAATCTAAAAGTTTTTCACAAAAAAAAAAGTAGTCTAAAAGTTACTGTTTTCTGGGACCAAACTGAAGTTATTCAAGGACCAATTTGATGTCATTGATTTTTCGAGGTCCAAATTGATATTTTGATAATCTTTTGAGGACCAAATTGGGGGTTTACTCTAATTTACTTACTAGAATTATGCGTACTCTTTTCAAGTAAACAAATATATACACATAAATTAGAAAGGTAGAGCTGCTCACAAGTTCCCATGATCGTGGATGAAAACCAACAGTAAAGCCTTGAAATACTTGTGGGCCCGGTTTATCACATGGAATTGCAAGTTCAACTAAAACTCTGAGAGACAACAAGATCGAAATAATTTTTACATATACAAAGTTCATGAAAGTACTTTAAGAAACAAGCACCAGAAAATCATCATGATATCGATTTTAATCTGTTCTGAACAATCAAAGGCTACCCAAAGTATATCTCTATTCACATTATACATTCTTCCCCTTTTAAATATTGGAAGAACTGAAGGAAATTGTTGGTCAATTACACACAAGTAATCTGGTATTTATAAACAGTAACAGTATAAATCATGAGCACCTAAACAGTATAATTATAGATACTAATTGCTTATAATAAGCTCTATATTGTAAATATGTGACAAGCTCAGCGCATTATGATATACATGCACCAACTTGAAGGCGGGTTTTAGAATATCTGATAAGAGGGTTGTTAGAATATCTTAACAAATATGTAAATAATAGGAAATCATGTATATTATTAGAGAATCATGTAAAAAAGGAAGGAAATCACGTAATTATACTCTTATATATAGAACTACGTGTGGTCTGATTGATACACACAATTCACTCAATATTCAAGTAAAACTATAAGAGCTAAATACTTATTTAAATTTGAAAGTTAAATTCAAAAGGGAAAGGGGAAAGGGGGAGAAGGGGAGCCTTCAAATCTAGAGTATAATTGCCTCCAAATCCAACTTAAAGTAAAGCAGCAGACTCTTTGGTTTGACTCACAAATTAACATTGAAAAATGATAAATTGATAATGAACAAATAAAGGTTTTTGACATTTGCATTTTACAATAAAAAATGACAGCTGAGAACGGGATAAAGTATCAAAGACCTGCAGTTTGATTCATACGTGACATTACATATGCATCCAGGATGACCTGCAAGTAGAAAAAACTAAAAAGCATATGTGATATGCTACTTTGAAACAGGATTTAGAATAAAAAAGTCCATTAAAATGTGGCACTAAGAAGATTTATGAGCAAAACCATGGAGATATTCTGCTGTACATACACACCATTCAATGATTTATTATCAGCCCCCTCAAAGAAAAAAAAAATTCCTCGATTTTCAGAATTTTTATAATCCTGCAGATTCCAATAAATTATGCCTCTAAACGACCCATATTGCTGGTCCACAAAAGAAAAAGACAATCAAGAATGGGAAGGAATCAGGGTTGGGGCATTGTGCACATTTCAAGTAGCCAAGATAGATAGTCATACCTTTACATTGTCCATTCAAACAACTCCCACATATGATATTTACCTGAAAGACATGAATGTAACATGAGAAAGGTGCATCTATCACATAATGATAAAGCATTGTACTAAAGAAGCCTGAACTTTTTACAGCCAAAAAATTAAGCATTGGACCAAAAACGTTTAGCCTAGTGGGCACCTATTGTGTATCTATGCATGGCAGTTAACAAAGTCTGGGTTCTATTACAGTCACACAGTTCCTTCCCAGGAACTTGAGCCTGGTCATACCTCCTTTCTTCATGAGATAACCCCCATTCCCATTTCCCCTATCCATTTTCTGGAGTCTTGGATCTAGTACATAAAGAAATAAATAAATAGAAGTTTCAGAGTAGCACCAACCTTGGCTGTTCGTCCCATTTTGTCATAACTTTGTTCACAACCCATCAGGTCACCATTATAAAACTCCTACACATTGAGAAAATGGCTTAGAAAGCAGGAGAAAAGGTATTAAGAAAGAGAAAGGAAGAGAATTGGAATTGAAATATAAAATCAAGTTTGAAACACATAATATTTTTTAGTCTAAGTGTCACTAGACTCTACTTGTGCACATGTAATGCCTGCTACTCTCTCCAAGAGGCCCATGCAGTCTTACATTGGCCACAAAGGAGATTGCAACATCTTTGAAAGTTCCTTCTTTAATATTAATTATTTTTGCAACTTGGAATTTTTTTCTTAGAATTACAATACTGCTTCTGTGACTCGGAAAAGATGAATGTGCTCCTTGCACCATTTATGCTTTAAATCTTTGATTATTATTTCCACAAATTTAACATCTTGCTGATGTGTTTGACACTGCTAGGTATTCTTACTAGCAAAAGATCAAATAGAAACCAGTGGAAAAAAAACAATATAAATTATAATAATATCCTTCCAAAAGGAATTTATGTCTAAGCAGTACCATTACTCACGATTTTTATTTTGTTTTCACAAAATATAGAAAACACAGAAGGAACTTACTTGTACAAAGTCAGATTGGCCAGAACCAGCAACAAAGTAGTTGAACCTATCAAATCGGCCAAAATCAACATATCCCTAAATAGTTTGGGGCATCAGCTAATGAAGTAAAAAACATGTTACATCAAAGAAAATTAACATGCCTTAATAGATAAAGTTTGTAACAAAAGATAAGAAACAAGAAAACCCAAGTACCCAGCAATAATTATTCATCACACACACATGACATCTATGACCTGATTGGAATTCAAATTTAAGTAAATCTAGGACAGATGTAAGATCCTCAATTACTGTAGCCTGTAGCTTAACCTAATTTAAGTGTTTGAAAGTCATTATATATTCAGATAGTTATTAGAGGAACACTTCTGTGTATCAACCTTTTAATAACTAATGAAAGACACGAATAAATAACCAATAGTCTTCCTAAAACCCTTTTTTTAAAAAAAAAAAAATAGGGGATGGAGAAAAAGGAACTAGAAACAAAAATACATCAGTTCAAATGCGTTACTATCCCTCTGCAAATCTCCTTCAATATAACGATGAGCAGAAATCCAAGCAGAACTAAAACTAATCTATTCAGTCCCCAGTGACATAAGAGAAGGAATGATAAATAAGCAGAACTCAGATGCCTATTCAGCATTACATATTTGCAATTGGTGTAAGTTAACCATTAAGCAAATGAATGAATCAAACAACCGATTGCTATAGCAATCTTTTTAAGATTTATAATAATTCAGGCCAAGTTGAATATGGTTTACATTTTACAGAGATGGTGCCTTAGGTTCTTGAGGCAGAATATACCAAGAGGATTAAAAAAAATGCAAACCTAAGTATATTCTTCATCAGATAACATAATCACTACTCTACCCACAAGCCCAAAAGAGGAGAAAGTTTAAGAATTAAAGCACATAATGAACGAAGTACTTGAAAGCATGGTGACATGGACTACCGTTTGTGATCTAATCTCCACATCTTTGCAGAATCGTACCACCAAGTCAGAACCTTGCTGCATCAATGCAAAGTGAATAACTTAGCAGCATGCCTAGAACCAAAACTGAAAACTTATATTAAAAAAATATAAAATAAAAATTCATATATTATAACAACACCCGCAGATATCAATAAACATGATAAGTGTCTAAGAGCATTACCTTCACATCATACTCAAAAAGGTAACCAATCCAGCTACTCTAATTAACCGGTTAAGTAAAAACAAGCATAGAAATAAAAAATAAAAAAAACATAATTAACAATATCATCAATTAATAACTATGAACAATCCATATTATATTAAAATCCAAATCCATGGCAATGCCCAATAAAGATGCATAACTTAAAGCGTGTGTTGGAATGAAGGATACGAAATCAACAACGCGACTTGAATTATCGAAAGCATAGCAATTGGAAGTCGGCATCGAAATTGAAGCCACCCATGATATCTGCAAAAGAACACCTGAAAAAAAAAATCACAAATCAATGTGTTTTAACTAATCAAATGTTTAAGCAACTGAAACCAAAGACCAGACAAAGAGAATAACACGACGAAATCACGAAACGACAGACACACCTAGGCATAAAACGGTTAACGTTGTCGAATGGCGCATTTTGGGAGCGACCGTTGCTTGAGATTTTGAGGGACACGACACGATACGATGTCAGTGAAACACTACGTCTAGCAGTGGGCACTAGCAGGAAGAGTCGGAAACTATGTGAAGCGACGAACAAAACGGCATGAAGAGTCTGTTCCAGCTTGTTTGTAAAAACGTCGTTTATTTGGCGTCCCGAAACGCAGTCAGCTTAATAAAATGTTGTCGTCGAACCAGGAACTTGGCTTGATAATGCTAATCAAACAAAACTAAATCCAGGAAAGAGGGTTGGCTTGGCAAAGATTCCGTTTTCTGTGGGTAGACTTAGCAATTTCACTCAGTTTGGCCAATATCTAAACCATTCTACTTTGCACATTACTCAGCTTGGCTTGATAAGGGCTTTAAAACTTGATTTGCTTAGATTTATTAACAATTACTCAATTATAGTGAAAAAATAAAAAGGATTCCGGAAGGAGAGAGAAATAGAATTATTAACAAATTATAACCGATCTAGCTAAATCACTCAAATGTTATAAAATAATCATATCCCAATAAATTAATTTTAGTTTTGTAATTGATTGCTATATAATTTTAATTTAAAGACTAAAGTTAGTTTTGATATTTTTAAATAATCATAAGTTCCTTTGAGTTGTTTTTGGGCCACTCTATACTATTTGATCAATCAAATAAGGTGCAATTTTTTTGTGATGGTCTTCCCTTTTTAGCAAATTTGATAAGTTCGAGAATAATTGAATCTTATCACACGTGGTTGAGTCTGATTCAAGTGATATTTAAAGTGACATTGCAATGGATCTGATGGGTTATGGTGTGGGATGATTTCGGTGGATGATTGTGCTAAAGCTAGAGATCTTTACTTGATTGGGACATACGAGAAATACTTACAAAACATTCTGACGCTCAAATTAGCGTTTGATTAATGAGGTTAAGTAATAATGGAGAATATGATCATAATTGAGCTTTTGAGCCGTTCATATATAGCAATGGCATGACCTACTCGACTGCCTTAGTATGGTAGCATTCATTCTCGCGGGTTGAGGAGGCCTCAACATTCTACTCCATTTGCGGGAAGCTCTTTAGGAGGCTATACTATGTAGGCTTAGTTGGAATTAAGTGTGTGTCCTTCAATCATTGGCTCTTGAGAAGGCCTATGAACTTTATGTTGATGTGAATCCGGTTATATATTTGCGAGATTGTGTGTATGCAGGATGAAGTCTCTTTCTTACTCCTTAACTCTTTATTATAGGACTTCTTGGATTGTTATTTTATTAAACCCTTCATCCCGCTCAATATAAGTCAAGATCAATATTTAATGTGTTGTGTAGGCCCAAATTTTTAACAAATTTAACAAACCCTTGTAGACAACACCAAAAAAAATAAAAAATAAAAAATAATAACTTCTTCCCTTTCTTTATTTCAATATACTACACCCAAAGTAATGCACAAAATTATTATAATAAATATTGTGTTAGTCTATTTATGAATATCCTAAATTTTTAAATCTTATACATTATCATTAAACCGCTAATAACACAAAAAAGTTAGTATGTAACTCAACAACTCTATTGTTCATAGTAACATTTAATAAATGATCCAAAGTCTAAAGAAGCTAAATATACTATTTTTCTTGATAAAGGAGCAGGACACTTATTGTTGTTGAAATTCATTTATTCATTAATTAATTACCACACCACATCTCAAAATAAATTCATGATGAACCTCAAGCAATTTCTAGCAAATCCTAAATAAAAAATTACAAAATCTTTGATATAATTTATTTATATTTTAGTATAAGTGAAGGGCTTAAGTTCGATATAATTTTTTGGAAAAAAAAATTTCATGTTGCAGGAGATTTATTTCGCTTACTATAAACACAAGATGTTGTGACTCCCACCATCCATTAAGAAAAAAAAAAAAAAACAAGTGGCACACAATTTCATGTCTCATTAGTATAAAAAAAATTCTCTACGATATGAGAAAAAAAAAGACCTAATTTTTTTGGATGAAAAGATTAGATAACTAGTTCGTTCAGCTGCAAAACTATGATTGATAAAAATATATATTCTCTCATGTTTCAAACAAATCAGTTATTAATAGATAGTGACAAAAGAGAGAACACGTTAAAATAGAGAGTGAAAAGACAAAAATTGTTAATTTATTTATAGACAGCTTCTCATCGCTGATTATATTAAATAAGAAATGAGAATATCTTCCTCTTTGGTAACTAACTTTTTTTATTCTGGACGAAAAGTTGGATGTCAACCAATAAAAGGGCGGTGGATAGCGCTATTATTACATGAGAGCCCAGTAGCCCAAAAATTTTAGCAGCCCTATGGCAAGCTGAAAATATGATACGATCAAAATTAGAGAGCAAAATCCAGCATTGAAAAGTGAGTAATTAAACTAGGGTAAAATAATTCTTATATTGCAGGACAAGAAAATCAATTTCCTATACACCTTTGAATTTTTGCACCCCTCTTTTTTTTAATAAAAGTTGTGAACCTCATTAAAACATGAGTATGCAGGAAAATTTGATTTTCTCCAACAACGTGAAAAAAAGTAACACCTATTAAACTATGAGTAGGGCCGGCAAAATGGGCTGAGCCCGCCGGGCTGGCCCGCCCCGCCTGCCAAATGGGGCGGGCTGGGTTGAGTCTTTCAACCCACCAGCCCGCCAAACCCGCCCCGCCAAACCCGCCAGCCCATATGGGTCAGCCCGCCACGGGGCGGGTTAGCCCGCCAAGTCATTTTTTTTTTTTTTTTTAGGTTACCCAATTGTTATGTAGCTCCGTATCTTAGATTTCTCTGCTTGCAAGTGGCTTTTTTGAATTGTTGTGGACTGCTCATACAACACTTTGTTACTTGTTTTGTTATTCTATTTTATCCTGATATGATTTTATTTTTTTATTATTATTTTTGGATTGAAAGATGCATATTTATATGCAGATTATTAAACACTGATCTTCTTGGTTTCATAAGCACATTAGGATTTTATACAGATTTTTGTATGCTTTTATGCAGATTTTTTTATGTGATTTTATGCAGAATTTAATTTTTTGTATTTTATTTTTTTTATTTTAGGCGGGCTGGCCCGTAGCCCGCCAGCCCACTCATAAAACGGGCCGGGTTACTCAATTCAACCCATTTTGTCAAAACGGGCCGGGGCGGGCCAGCCCATTTTTGGCGGGCCGGGGCGGGCTGGCCCATATTGCCAGCCCTAACTATGAGTAATGTATCTGTCTTGTTATAGGACAAGAAATTGATGTTCTACTCACACTTTGAGTTTCGAGCTTTTCTTTTTTTCTTTTTTAAAAAAAAAATTGTGAGCCCCACAAAACAAGTTTTTGCACGTAAAATGAATAGTGGTCGTGTAACAGGATTAGAGGTGACAAAGTGAGCGGCCCGCTCCACCCTGCCATCAATTCGTCAAAAAATGAGTCAACCCGCTACGCTTTTAAAAGTGGGCTGAAAAACTCGGCTCGCCCCGCCCCGTTTGGCGGGCTGGCCTGCTAGCACGAACTTATTTTACACTGACTCGCATTGCCTATACCCGCCATCAACCCATCAAAAACTAAGTCCACCCCACTTTTGATATGGATTGTAAAACTCAGCCCTCTCCACCTCATTTAACGGGTGGGGAGGGTTGGCCCACCGAGTCTGGCCGATTTTGTTGGCCTTAAACACGATAAACTAAAAACCTTTAAACTATAGGAAAAATATTTGTCATTTTAAATGACACACCTTACATCATTTCCCTCTCACAAAGAGGTGGAACCCATACATTTAAAAAAATTTCCTCTCATTCTCTCTCACGTGATTTATCTCTTATCTCATCTAAAATGACACAACTTTATATCCTTTGAAATCATACACACTTTTCCCTTAAACTATAGGACTATGTTTTTCGGCAGTAGGAGATATACATAGTTTCTTACTAACCCATAAAAAGATGTGCTGTATTTATTTTGATTTTTTTAGATGTTGATGGGGCCCACAATTTTTGCATCTATATCATAAGATAATAGATTTGCTGTTGCATGAGACTGATTTATCCCTTAAACCAATATTATTAGCTTCCAAGTTTAAATTTGATCTCCCAAAATCATAGTCTTTGGTCTGGGTTAATTTAATCTCATTAGTTTTCGGCAAACATAGAGCAATACGAGAATGATTGATTGACATGGATATAGTAACAGAATCAGATCCACTTCTCTCGTGTTCTATTAAAAATTAAAAATTAAAAAAAAAAAAAAAATCGAACATTATACATTCCTCGGGCTGAGAATAATTTACTACAAATTTTGAAGAGAATACAAAGTCTTGGTTTTAATTTTCTTGAGTTGTTGAACAGCTCCTACGCTATCCAAAATTGGTTTGGCCACATTAGTAGTAGTGATACACAGCCCGAAAATTTTGACAAAAGTTAACCAGAATTTACGCTAATTTATGGGCGATGGTTGGATAAGACAAACTGATATCCAAAAGTCAATTTCAATATCATTCTTGGTTCCTATTCTGTCAAGTTAATTCTAGCTATGTAACGCTTTCCTTTCATACAATACAGAAAATTGATCATTCATCCATTGCTCAGCACTAAAAATCAACTTTCATTACCAAATGAGTTGTTTAGTATATTACTACAGTTGCACAGACGACAAGATTAAACCTTGAATGCAAGCACATGAAGGTGGATATATGTCTTTTGCTGACATCAACGACCCCACCAATTCTTGTATTTGACGAGTCAACATAAAAATGTTTTCAGCGGAATTCTTTGTAGCCCATTCCTCTATCATCCTGCACAAATTGTTTAAAATCGTAGGAAGCAAGTAGTACAATAGATATATTATACATGAACTTATATATGAATCCATTGATTATCCAAAGTTAATGATTCCTATCCCTTCATATTAAATAGAAAAAAAAATTTGTTATTTACTTATTGTCTCCTTTTTGAGCTTATTTGATAAATCTCTAGGTAGAACTGTAGCAGACAAAATGCATTCAAGTTCCAAGAGTAATAAAGGAAAAGGCGTCCGAACATCTAGTAAACAAAAGCCAGCCACAGAAAACATAAAGAGAAACAAAAACAGAGTATAGATGCTCCTAATTCTAAAGCTCAAACCAAAACAGAAAAAGGTAAGAATTTTTTTTACATATTATATGGATTTTTCCAATTAATACATTAATCATGATAACAGAGACAACTTGATAACTGACCTTAATTGAGAATCTGTTGCAGTGTTGCAATCAGAAAAAAGCACCTTGATGACGGGCCCTAACTGTAATTTAGGAACTGGGTCTTTGTCCTCTGTACTAGAACAATTGCGAGAACATGACCAAGTATCTGGATTTAAAAGAATGATTTGCAGGACAGGGGATTTTGTTGTCAGATCTCTGATAACAAACCGAAACAATGATTCATCATTTGCACACTCCATCAACTGATTTGCAAACATTTTGTCCATGGTGTATTTGCTGGTGACAAATATAATGCATTAGAATTTATTCAGAATATCTGTATTTAACAATCTAACTTCAAAATAAATTAATCTTTATCTCACTTAATTTTAAACTAAAAAATGAAAATTCTGTAAGGCCTATTTCACCAAATCTGCGAAAAGAAAGTAATAGCCTGAATATGAAGGTGGATGCAGTCATGCGTGCACACAGATAATTTTCTTTTTCGCCTTCAGCCTATAAATATATTCAATGATTTACCAACCATGAATTTTCAACAATTCTAAGACCATGTATTCAACTGTTAACTCTTTCCAAATTTCCAATGCATGAAACTGGTTGGTAAAATCTTAACATACACCATTATGGAAGAACCAAAAATATTGTTCCTAGGAATAGAGATAAAACAGAGGGAATTAATTTTTTGAGCCATACTTAATTTCACTTCCCTAAAATCATTCACAGCACACACACACAAAATACCTAGAGTTGGCAATTTACGGTCACTGCCACTTCTTTCCCACCAAGTTTTGTATGAAAGAAAGAATTAATAGATTTTTTTCCCTATGTTACGTTTCTATTACCCAATTATTATTTATCAACCAACTAACCTGCAATTGAATTGTCAAACAATTATTATTTCCCAATTACATTCCTAACAGTCAGCTGCAATTGAATTATAAGGGTACACAACTAAGTCACCTTTTTTCTTTTTGATAAAGAATTATTAAGAGAAAGAGAGTGAATTTAGTTATTCTTTGCTAACCTGAATGTGTCCCCTGATCCTCCAACTGGCACACAGGTTGAAATATAACATTTGAACAATCGTACTCCTCCATCTACTGGTGTAAAGCCCTCACAACATGGGTAGGCTCCAAGGAGAGACGAGCATTGAGGGCATGTAAATTCATGCCAACTAATATCCTTTGAAAGGTTTGATGATCTAGCCATGAATACATCTTCAAGAAAACCATTGAGGAAAGATTTCTGATTTCCCAGAATTTCCATGGTTTCTGTTGGCAACCGTTCCTTTCCAGCAATTTCAGATAAATGATGTCCATTGTCTTCATCCCCAAGAATGCTTGTCATATGACCACAACAACTAGGAGGTTTGACCACATCTTCATTAACATCTGAATCTGGATGTGAACAAGAGAATTCACCATGATCAGGTTTATTCTTACTGACTTCATATCTGACATTCACCAAAGGCTTTTTTTCATGCTCAACATGAGCAAACCTTGAATTCTCATCAAAAGCATAGGTTACTTCACCAGCATCACTGCCGGTTGAAGTTCTTTCCTTGTTCAATCCAGAATTTCTTGTGGTTTTGCTAACACCATCATCTCCTGGGTTACCTGCTACAGAATTACACTCTTGTTCTCCACACCCTTCAGGAAAATTACATTCCACAAGATCATCCTTGCAAAGAGTGATAGATGTAGAGCTCAATAGACACAAACCCTGCACGCAAGCATAAGAACTTACATACCTCATCACCATTTTCTCACTTATACCTCCAAATGAACAACAACAAGCTCCAAACCAGTTGTCAGCCACCTCTCTCCAATTCGCTGATGGCATTTCAACAAAATTCCTAAATAAGTAACGTGAAACAAAATGAGAAAACAAAAATCTCAAAAACTAAATGTTCAATAAAACACTAGCCCCTGCTACTATTAGTCTGTTATTTTCTATTCTATTTGAACCTCAGACCAGAGAATTGTTGGTTAGTTAGAATAGTTACGTTTGTGTGGTTAAAGTTGTTAGAGGTAAAAAATTAGCTTAAATAAGAAAAGAGGGGCCATTCTGATTTATTATCATTTGAGAACTGAGCATTAGCAAAAAGGGGACTTCCTTTATAAAGAAAAAATCTTGGGAAAGGTCTCTGTTAGTAATTCAATGAACACTTGAGAAGCATTTTTTTCCCTGTTTTCTGTTTTTCTCATCTCTCTCTGAAGAATAATACTCTCTTTATGGGTTCCTAACACTAGTCTAGATAACTAAAAACTCTCAAATGATACTAAATAAATAATAAGCAAACACTGACATCTAACCTGAGAGGATTTTTGGTCAACTTGAATGAGCAACTTCTGCAGTAAAAGTCAACTTCTCCTTCAGAAGACAAAACTTTCACGTCTGAACCAAACAAAGAACCAGAAAAATAAATACAATAAAAAACTGAAGTTGCAAGAGTTTAAAAAATGGGTATTTGGAGATTACCAGATTCCAATAGGAGAGTGTTGGAAACGTCGTCGTCTGGGGAACTGTGGGGTTGATTGAGGGATTTGACGATGGGGTGATCGACGGGGAGGAGGAGGAGGAGCTTGACCTCAATGTGGTCGTGGTGTGCTCGGAATGTCACCGGAGACTCGGCGTCGATCAAAACCGTGGGAAGCGGAACCCTAAGGGAGACGGCGGAGCAAGTGAGAGTGAGAAAAGAGTGTGAGGAATGAAGGTGAACGCTGATATTGTGACATTGAAGAGAGGGATTGAGGTTGTTTTTGGGTAATAAGAATAATCGAAGCGTTGGGATGTGAGACTGTGCTTCCCACGTAAACCGCCATCCATATTCAGAGTCCTCAACCATTCTAATCGCTCTTTGCTCCTCCAACTTGGCCTATGGATTGAGACGAAAATGTTTATTGTTCAAAAAAATCTGAGTTTGATTTGAATACCGCGGCACTGAAATATATATATACACAAAGGTAAAAAGACAGAAAATGTGGCTGCTGGGATTCGAGCCCAGGTCTCCACGGCCACAACGTGGAATTCTTACCACTAAACTACAGCCACGAGTTTCGAGCTTGTTGCGTAGTTATAAATTAATTCTTACATTTAATCATGTTTACTTTCAAACAAGAATGTATAATCCTCTAGGAGGTGAAAACATTTTTTATTTTTAATTTTTTTTGCTTGCGTAACAAATAAGATTCCAACTGTCTTCTTCTAATTCATGATCCATGTCATGATATTACGGTTATTACATATATTCTTATTAAATGTCATTTTCTTGTGCTTTGATTAAGTGATTGTCAATGTTATTGGCTTGTTATCTACCGTTGGTATTAGGTAAATTCACATATATTCAACCCAAAAGTTTAAGTTGATGTGTGAGATTATATTAATAATTTTATATTTTTCTAATATTCTCTCTTATTCGAGAGCTCATTGAACTTTAAGGGTGAATGATATATCAAGCTCAACCTACTTGTGTTAAAAAAATTCACAATACATAATTATTTGTTAACTGAATGGAGGCGATAAAGATCAAACTCGTGACGAGGGCTCTAAGGATGACAATAAAGATCTCTATATGGTTGCATGAAATGCAATAATTTATCATTCAACATTTGATTATATCATATAAAAGTTCTATGTGGTGCAATTGATAAACATTTTCAATGATCGTTGGACTTTAAAATGTTGTTTTCCCTAACCTAAAAATTTTCATATCACTCTTCACAAGAAAGAAAAGTTAGAAAAAATTAAAGAGTTCTTAGAGGATGAGAATCAAGATCTCTATACGGTTCCATAAAATATAACAATTTGTCATTCATCATTCGATTATATCATATAAAAGTCCTACGTGGTGCAACTGATAAAAAAATTTCAAAGATCGTTGACCTTTTAAATTATGTTTTCCCCAAGCTAAATATTTTCATATAACTATTCACAAGTAAAGAAAAATTAGAAAAATTAAAGAGTTGTTAAAGGATGACAAGAAAGATCTCAACATCGTTGCATGAAATACAACAATTTGCCATTCATCATTTTATTGTATCATATAAAAGTGGTATGTGGTGCAACTGATAAATATTTTCAACGATCGTTGACCTTTTAAAAGATATTTTCCCCAACCTCAATGAGGTCGTGTACTTGTTCTCGATTTTTGAAATATATGTAATAAGTATATGAAATTTAATAAATAGATGAAAAGACAAATAGTTTTTTAGGGAATTAATTTTTAAAAAAAAGGTTTATCAAGTATTTGATGGGACAATTATGTTTTTGTTTTGAATTATTGTATAAATGAATGTTTTTTCTTTCTGTCTACCAAACTTTAGATTTCATGTTGTTTCTTTAAAATAAGAACGTAAGAGACAAAAGACGAGATCAGAATTTCTATTATTGAAATAATATTTATGCATTCTGTCATGAACTCTCAATATCTTTACTTGTGTACTGTCGTTGTATGAATATCCAAGTTCTAATAAGGCGTCACACAATACTAAGTAAGGAAAACTTGTTTTGTTGTGACTCTTAGATTTTGGGGGTGACTAGTTATATGAAAAATTTTAGGTTGACGAAAATATCATTTAAAAGGTCAACGATCATTGAAAATATTTTATCAATTGCTCAACATAAGACTTTTATGTGATACAATCGAATGATGAATGATATATTGTTGTATTTCATGCAACCATATAGAGATCTTGATTCTTATCCCTTAATAACTCTTTAATTTTTTCTAACATTTTTTTTTTACTTGTGAAGGGTTATATGAAAATGTTAAGGTGACACATAACCAAGTGCAATTTTTTGTCTCAAACTTTTTAAGCACAAGGAAGCTAAGGTTCAACTCTTGTGAGTTACTAGTCAAGTTTCTGGTAAATTTAATTTCAGACTGCATGAATATTAGGTATGGAATGGAAACAAACGAGGGAACTCTAACAACACAATTGCTCATTTTCAACTAATTCTTTAAAGGACTTGCAATTGAAAAGGGAATCAAAGGAGAGGGAGGGTTTTTTAGTTGAAAAATAGAAATCCTTTTGACTCCCTAGTCTAAGATAGCAAAGATTTATGAATGGATGAGTCATACTCTCTACGAATTCTGAGAGAGAAACTTTGGATGGTTTAAACATTCAAATGAAGAAGTACACTTGATATGAAATCTACAAAGTCTTTTCTAAATGCTTTCTCTTCGAAAAATAAAGAAGGACGATCATTAAAGTGTAGGTCAGTGACGAATGTCCAAATGTATATCCATCTTTTGGACAAAACACTCGTATGAACTACTTCTTAAGTTGGGAGAAAAGAGAGTATGCGACTAATAATGTCTTTAGGTAGATTGTTGATTTTGTCATCATATTCACTTCTCTGTTGCCTTTACAGAATGATATCTTTGTCTCTACGAAAGAGAGAAACAACACCTGGATCCATATGTTCCTACAAACCCATGTCAAGTCGTCATTATCTCGTTACATAGAGACTCAAAGAATATGAAAATATAAAGATATCGAGAGTTCATTATTCGCACACTAACATGATTATATCAAAATACACAAATATTATTTCACTAATAGAAATTCTTATCTTGTCTGTTGTTTCTTATGTTCTTATTTAAATGGAAAAATATGAAATCTAAAGTTTGATAGGAAGAAAGAAAAAACATTCATTTGAATACAATATTCTGAAAAACTATCCCATCAAATACTTGATAAACATTTCTTTTTCTTCAAAATTAATGCCCTAAAACATTATTTATCTCTTCATCTACTTATTAAATCACATATACTTATCACATACATTTCAAAAATTGAGAGCAAGTTAAGGAAAAAAATTCATATGACGAAAGCCCTGATCAAACTAAAACAATGACACACAGCCTCATTGAGGTTAGGGAAAACATCATTTAAAATATCAACGTTCAATGAAAATATTTATCAGTCGCACCGCATAGGACTTTTTATAAGGATACAATCGAATGATGAATGACAAATTGTTGTATTTCATGTAACCGTATGGAAATCTAGATTGTCATCCTTTAACAACTCTTTAATTTTTCTAACTTTTATTATTTCTAACTTTTCTTAAATGTGCAAAGTTATATGAAAATGTTTAGGTTAGGGGAAACATAAATTAAAAGGTCAACGATCAATGAAAAGGTCTTATCAATTGCACCACATATGACTTTTATATGATATAATTGAATGATGAATGAAAAATTATTGTATTTCATGCAGCCATATAGAGATCTTGATTCTCATCATTTAACAACTCTTTAATTTTTTATAAATCTTTTTTACTTATGAAGATTTATATGAAACTATTTACGTTGGGGAAAACATATATAAAAGGTCAATGGTTACTGAAAATGTTTTGTCATTTGCCCTACATAGGACTTTTATGTAATATAAATGAATTATCAATGACATATTGTTGTATTTCATGCAACTATATAGAGATCTTTATTCTGATCCCTTAACAACTTTTTAATTTTTTTCTAGTCTTTTTTTTTACTTACGAAGAGTTATATGAAAATGAGAAGATAACACATAACCAAGTGCAACTTTTTGTCGCAAATTTTTAAGGACGACGAAGCTAAGACTTAACTCTTGTGAGTTACTAATAAAGTCACTAGTAAATCTAATTTCAGACAACTGCAGGAATCTTAGGTATGGAAGGGAAACAAATGAGGGAATTATAACAACACAATCACTCATTTTCAACTTAAATTCTTCTAAGGACTTGCATAGGAAAAGAGAATGAAAGGAAAATGAGAGTTCTTTAGTTGAAAAAATAGAAATCTTTTTGACTCCCTTGCCTAAGATAGCAAAGATCCATGCATTAACAATGGACGAGTCATAGTCTCTACGAATTAGGTATTTATGTCATTTAAATAATTTCTTAAATGAATTGAAGATCTTAACTGAATTGCTAATGTTACCAAACAGACACTTGACAAGATCTTCAATTGATTTTAAGGATCTCCATACTTGTATATACATAATATATGTTTCTGACAATATTGTTATTTGATGTGAATTGCAGGATGAAAAACAAGAAACAGAAACTCAAGACCCCAGATTGGTCGAAGATGCCAATAGACATCATAGAGATGATTTGCAATGAGCCCAAGTTTGATATTTTCTTGTGCCTCCCAATTCTTTTTATAGTAAATACCATTTTTGGGCCTCAACAAATTTTACGATGCCCGCTTTAGTCCCTAGGAAATAAAAAGGCTATTTGTGGTCCCTAAGAAATTCAAAATGGACCCATTTAGTTGAAATCGTGGTCCCTCACAAATTCAAAAAAGACCCACATTAGTCCCTCAAAAGGACTAAATTGGGTCCATTTTGAATTTCTTAAGGACCACGAATAGCCTTTTTATTCGCTAGGGACTAAAACGGGCATCGTAAAATTTGTTGAGGACCGAGAAAGGTATTTACTCTTCTTTTTATTTGTGTATTGTTATTATTATGTTCTTGGGGTCAGTACTCTTTTCTTGATCATTTTCTTTCAAGAAGGTGGGATTAGTACTGTAATTCTGTTTCGTAGAATCAAATTTAAATATAACTTGTCCTTATTTATTTTATACAATAGGTATTATCGTTGATTGAATTCGATGTATACTTAAATCTTGAAGTTTTAGTTTCCTTCTCAACTTGTTCATAATATGTAGGACTGTGATTTCAAGTTTCAAGTTAAAATATTGAGAACTGGTGCCAGAACTGATACTGGCTATAGAAAAGCGCGTACCGGAAAGGTGGTGCGAAAAATAAAATACAAATATGATAAATCTTGTAAAATTGAGTAGGTTCTGAATCATAAGTTTGGGATTAAAATGCTAAGCGTAGCATTTAGCGCTAATACAGTGCGATTAAAACTTAAGTGGCTATTTATAGCC